CTGAGTCTCAGCTGCAGTGTCCTCACTTGACCTCCTGTTGCTCCTGGTTGTTCTCAGTGAAGAGCTCCAGGAGCCCGTCACGTTTCACCTACATAATAACTGTGTCACAGAAAGGCCACTGACTAGCATCTCAGGGTATGAAGGAAACTTTCACATCTTTAACGAAACCCTTAGTTCAGGCTTTTGGGTTCTCCAACAATCTGCAAAGTGGTCGTCAAACTGTATTAATGAAGAATATAATTGTAGCGATCATTTATTATCCCCTTTTGGGGGGCCACTCTGGTTACGCTGCTAGGAGCTCTATTTGTGCTCTTTGATTGTACACTCACTGTGGCCCATTTTAGAGATGAGAAAACAGAAGGTTAAAAAGGATAAAGAAGTTGCCTGAGGCTACAAAGATAGCAAATGGAGACTCAAATCTGTATCTTTCTGACAATAAATATGATGCTCTGAGTTAATATTCCACCAGACTGCTAAAATTTAATACATGCCATGATAAAAAACACATAACTCAAAATACCATCATATCCATCTCCACACAACACAGACTATTGGACCCTTTATTATATTTACCAAAGATCTGTCAGCTGGTAACTTCCATTTTTCAGCACTAATATACCTCATTGTATGTATGATATTTACCTACTTAGGCTAGTTATTTTAGGATGGAAATCTAGAAGTAAAATTACAGATCAAAACATATAAACCTTTTTCCAGCTCAATGTGTGTTGTCAATTTGCTTTCAAAGTAATCACATCACTGTATAATGCCATCATTAATATGGCATTGATATTATGTGTTTAACATTCTTAAGTATAACACTAATAGCTTATTTAATTATATTTATAATATTAAATTTAAATGTGTATGTGTGTACTTTTTCTAATAAAGGTAGCATTTGTTGGAACTTATTAGATGAAAGATGCACATTGCTTTATTAGTAATATAAAACATTTGTCCCTTTCACATTTTAAAACTTTATATTTTATCTTTTATATGTTGCTTCTTCTTTTGTTTGAGCATTTATCTACAAAGCAGCGCCATGATATATCCTTCTGGTGGCTAAACAAAGAAAAATGGAAGAGTGCAAATCACTAGTCAAATGCAAAGCATTTTTGTTCAGTGACTCTTGACTGGTGACAACTGGAGTACGTGCGTCTGTTGATACTGTCCTAAATTTTAAAAGAGGACAATGTGTACTTGGTACATCTGGAAACTGCTGCTGCTGCTGCTTCGCTCTATCCCAGGTCAGTGACCTCTGCTCACGCTGCACTGTTCTCAGCCTCTCCACTTCTTAGTGCCAGAGGAGCAAAATTCTGACCCTTGGGGGATGCCACCCTCTCCCCTACTGTTCTCTCAACCTGTGACAAACTTTCTCCTACTTCCCAGAGCTGCTCAGAGGCAAGAAGGTAAGCCAGCTCCTTGGAATCCAAAGCCATTTTCATTCTTGAACTTCTGTGACCTCAGAGAGTGTCCCCGTGCTCCTCTTTTGACCCTTGGCAGCCAGCACTGTGGTCAGCACACTGAAGATGACCAGGCATCACTGAACTCTGCTGACACCATCTCCTGGGGAAGTCTCTCAGCCAACTGTGTCTAGCCCTAGCTTAACAGCCCAGACTGTCCTTCTGTTACTCCTCTGCATGGTCTTGGATAACAGAGCTGTGTCTCTTATTTCCTCCCCTTCTAATAGCAGTTGTCCTCCTGTTTGTCATACTCTGGCTTTGAAACATGCAATCATGTGCTTTGTGGAAACAAAAGCAATTTTAGCATACCCTGTGTCTTCCACACATGTATTGTAACTTCCTTTTATAGTCCAAATCCAAAAACTATGCCCATCTACCACATCTAAGGTCTCATCCTTAAGGCTGGGCTGGGGGAAGGGTAAAAGCACAGAGCCTGCCACTCCCAGTTCCAAGCGAAGTGGAAGTGGTGTTCTGATTATCTGGTGCTACCTTACGGAAACTGTTTTATTCTATTTCAGACTATTGTGGTTCAGGAGTCTGGGCAGGGCTTCCTCAAGTGATTCTTCTCTTCTACTGGATATTGATGAGATCGCTTGGTGGCATTCACCTGAATGCTGACTTATTGGGAGGATCTAAGATAGCTGCACTTGAATGCCTGATGTGTTGGTGGAAAGGGATGGAAATGCCTGCAAAGGCCATCTCTAGCATGATGGCCTGCAGAGAGTTCAGTGTCTTACATGGCAACCCAGGGGGCTCCACGAGCAAGAGTTCAATGGCATAGGGCAGCAGCTGCAAGGAATTAATGACCCAGCCTTGGCAGTCACATAGCATCCGCTCTGTCTTACACAGGCAGCCACAGCATCCTCAGGCCTGTCAGGTGGAAAAGGAGAGGACAGGAGCCCTTACTGCTCTCACAGGATAAATGGCTTGAAAGTGCCATTTTATTTAAAGTCGCTCAGAGAGAAGCACTGTGGAAGACTCAGGGGTAGGATGGGTGGGAGCTGGGGATTAACCATAGGACACAGAGGCTCTCTGGAGTTATCAAGGGCTGATGCCTTTGCTCACATTTTTAACTTATACATGAAACATTCTCAGTCTCACACTCTCATAACTCCAACAAAGCTATGTTCCCTTGGATCTCCAAGAACATTAGACCCAAATCCAGTAGCCTGTGTCTGTCTGTCGGTCTATCTCTTTGTCACCTCCTGACATTTATTGCAAACTTGACACTGAAGCCCCAGCCCTTCTTTCAATATAGTCTCAAATACCAAGTTCTAAGACCCTACATGCTACTGTTTCTTGTCCTAACTCTACCTGTGGCCAGTCATTCTTTCCAGACCGTAACTGCAGGTCCCGCTGTGTTTAGCCTTTGTTCCCTTCCCAGCCCATTGTAACTGGTTCCATGTAAAGCATGCATTTTCACTGCCTCCGTATCACTGAGCCAGAACCTCCCACTTCAGACTTCTGACTCCCTTAGCGAGGTACATGCACTTTCCTATGGTAGCTTCTTATCCATACTGTTCTTTCCCAATAATTCTATGACTTCAAAAGTTGCTGCCATCTTTTTACCCAAAGCTTACAAAGCTGCCTCACAACAGTTGCAACATTACCGACCTACTTCTCATGTTCTTTAGCCTGGAGTCACTTTTTGAAAACTGTTTCACTCCACTTCTTATTCTTCATAAAGTTCTATGGTCTGTCGGGTTAGATGTGACATTTATCTGAGAGCACTTTATAAGTGTTTCACTGGAACAAATTGACAGCATGAATCCACACTCATTTCGGGGCTGTTCTTTGACTTCTCTAGCCTGGCCTCTTACCTACTTCTTCTGCTCCCTCCTTTTCTTCTCTGTCAACCAGTTTCCCAGTCTTTCAGGCCAATAGAGTGCATTGGTATACACACATCCTGCCTCCCCCAACATATTTATTTTCATGCATTCCTCGATCGCTTTATTTCAACAAGTGTTTGTAGGGGAAAAAAAAACCCCACACTCTCTTCCTCCTCCTTTCTGTTCAACCAGAGCCTACCCAACGTTGCCTTGGAAGCTGCTTGGATCTAGGTTCTTGAATTGTATCACACCTTCGTGTCCTATTAGCCCAACTCCTACAGGAGATGAGTCTCTGTCCATTCATTCATCGGGAGCTTAGTTCAGTGCTGAGTATCAGCAGGTCCTAGATGGCTGAATGTGGATCCTGGTAATATTAAAGGATCTTTGGCTCACTTGAGAAGGCCCAATCCTTTTTTTTCCCCTCCTTTCCTTCTTTTTTTTTTTTTCCCTCCTGTTTCCTGTGATTTCCACTCTATTTCTCTCTTTTTAAAGGGCACTTTACAAGACATTCAGAAAAGTAAACACTCAAAGAAGACAGAAAAATAGAAAATGGGGAGATGTTTTTCAAATGGATGGTGGAACAAGAGATGGAGGGAGTGGGAGAGAGGGAAAAAGGAGGTGAAAAAAAGAATTGAAGGACAAATTATGAAAATAGAGCTTTCGCAACTGAGAAGGGGACCAAGAGTTTGAAAGAGCAGGGAGAGAGAGGTGAAGCAGGGAAGGAAGAGACAGACAGACAGCGGGAGGGACAGAGGCAGAGAAGTGAACTGAGGTGTGTCCCGTACCCGTACCAACTGCCTGCGTTAATTATAATCATTAGGTACTGCAAACACACAGTAATAAAAAAGATAAAAATAGAAAAATGTTCTCACACAACCCTGGTATAGCGATTTATCTCTGCAGGTAGCAGAATTAGAGCAGCAGGATTTCAGATTGGGACAGCTCAGGAAACGAATCTTACACAGCTGGAAACAAGGCAGAGCCAAGAGGACTTCTCAGGGCCGCAAGGCTGGTGAGGGGCAGCAGCGGGCCCTGGAGCCAAGCCCCGGCCAGGCAAGCTTCAGTTACAGGAGCCAAGGAGGCCCCCTCGTGTGCCACTGCGGCAATTTACCGTCTGCTGCCTGGTTTGTCCGCAATCTCACCTGACATCTTTCCAGAAAAACTGATGCACAAAACGCTTATTTCCTTTGAAAGGGCAGAGTGTTTTTAGGTTTTTCATGAGTGACTGATTGATTGATTGATTGATTTTTTAGTCTCACTTTGGTTATCAGAAATGGGGAAGAAAGAATGTGGGGGAAGGAGGTCAATTTAAAATGAGAGGAAAGGGACTCGAGACGGCGGGATTGTGAGGAACCTGAAGAGTCCGAGGAACCGGGTGATGAGCTACTGCGCCCCTCAGGAGTTCACCGCTCGCAGGAGTCCTGCGAAGTCGCGCCGTCGAGAGCTCCTGGCCGCTGCACCCGGCTGCACCGCTGCAGTAACAGAAGGCGCCGCGCGCCAGGGCTCCAGGGATGCCAGCGCGCCCTTCTGGTGACGCGCGGAGCTTGGCACAGGCGGCGGGGTGCACGGCCAGGACTTCAGAGACAAGCGCGGCGGGCAGGATGGGGGTGGGAGGCACCCTGAGCCCGGGCCTGCCGGTTCCCACGCCCAGGTCCTGGGGGACCTCCGCGGCCCAGCCCCGGGCGGCCGGGTATAAAGGTCCCCGCGGAAGCAGGGCGCAGTGGGGCGCGACAGGCAGGGCACAGAGATCCTCCAGGCTCGCGTGGGGACCAGACGAGGAGACTCGGTCCCGCTCTGCGCTCTGCAGGTAGCCGCTGCTTCTGCGAGGTCCCGGAAAGCACATAGAGTTTCCTAAGCCGGCCAGGCAGACGTGAAAAAGAGGAAAGGAATTTCCACCTCCGGGGCTGGGCCATTTTACTATTGCTGCTTGTCTGCTTGAGTGAGGATGGTGAGCCCGACGGTGTCAGACGTGCACCCCACCATGGGGGTCAAGATCTTCTCAGCCGGAGTGTCGGCCTGCTTGGCGGATGTGATCACCTTCCCGCTGGACACCGCCAAAGTCCGCCTACAGGTAGCGAACCAGACGCAATGGGGCGCAGGGGACATCTATGGCACACGGGCCTTTGATCCCCTGCTTTGGTTTTTGCCACCCTTTCTGGTTAGGGAAGACAGGTGGCCGTCTTTATTTAAAAAAAAAAAAAAAAGTTGGCTCTGTACTGGGATGGGATGCTTTAGGGTTGGAAACTGGAACTGTTTCCTGGATTAACTAAATGACCATAAGGGCCCAGACGCTGGGTGATTGCGACTACCGCCAAATCCTCCAACTCTAGGGTGCGCTGAGCTTTCTAAACAGAGGCCTGGAAGTCAAGCACTTTCCTGTTCCTTCTTTGATTCTGCAAGGTGCATTCCCAGTCTGTTGCCTTAGGGGTTCGCGAAAGAATTCTTGGGGTGAATGGGGATAAGGAGTCAGAATTACACCCACCCCCCATATTTAGATGTGGGGATGCACAGGGAAGAGCTGCTGAGCTGAAAAGTAGCGCAATGGGAGAATCCGCAAGGACATCTGATGTCCCCACTGGTTTTTGCGCCCATAGGACTGTTTCTCCTCCCTCTCACCTGCACCTTTCTCATCTCTAGATCCAAGGCGAAAGCCCGACCTCCAGCGGCATTCGGTATAAGGGCGTCCTGGGGACTATCACCACGCTGGCAAAGACTGAAGGGCCCGTGAAACTGTACAGCGGGCTCCCCGCAGGCCTGCAGAGGCAGATCAGCTTCGCCTCCCTCAGGATCGGCCTGTATGACACCGTCCAGGAGTTCTACACCTCGGAGAAAGATGGTAAGCCGTGAGAGTCCCAGAGGGACCAGAACCCCGGGACTCAGTCCAGTTACCAGCAGCAAAAAAGTAACACGAGGGGCTCTAGGCACAGCTCAGTGGCCAGAGCGCTTGTTTAGCTGTTGGAAGTCCGAGTTCAATCCTAGCACAAAAAACCCCAAAACAAATAAACAAACAAACAAAAACCCTAAAAGAGCAACACCAACACACCCGGGTAGTGGTCTTCATAACAAGCTGGGAGATGGGCATCAATATTTGAACAATCTCCCTTCCCCAAATATGAGTTTTAGACACCAACCAGAAATATCTTAGAAGTATTCTGTGGTTATTACATTTATTTAGTAACGCGTATTGAACTGCCATGTACCACAAACCGTATGAGATGTGCAGGTGACCGCTGTCTAGACAGGAGTTGTATGCAGAGAATGGGGCTGGTGGGTAGAGGTTAACAGTGACTTCACACTGCTGTACATACTGTGTTGTGAGTCCGTGCAGGCCACTGGGCACGTGGAAAGGAGTATTTGACCTGGCCATGGGAACCATGTCCTGCAGGAGTTCCCTGGGGAGGGAGTCTGAATCCAGTCTTGAAAGGCCAGCAGGAGGAACCCAGGAAGGACAGTGAGAAAAGACCCCTCAAGCCATGTGAAGGTCGCATGCATGACCTTCACTAAGAAAGGATTTTTCCTTAGTGAGACCAAAAAAATGGGAAAAGTCAATCTCCCTACTTCCTATTATCTATCTTTTATTTTGATCTCTATTTACCCTATGTCAAGGTTAGGAATCAGAATTTGAAAAATTATTTGAATTATAAGTCCTTGATGAGTGGATGCTACTGAACTGTGTCTTTAGTATGTGTGTTGCCATAGCAAGCACTGAACCGTAACTTTATATTTCTCTATAGGACTAAATATCGAGCTTCAAGATTCTTCATATTTTATTGAATAATATTTGCCTTGAGCAACACAAGCTAATTTTTCAAAATTTCATGACACAAATCACTTTCTTAGTTTTTTTCTTCTAATTTTTTTGTTTCACAGAAGCCTAATATTATTTGATGTCTGTATTAAGGCAGTTTTCTCATTGGGCTCTTCTTAAGACTGTCTAATGATAAATATTTTCACTGATCAGAGGAAACTCAAGCATTATAGTGACTGCTATTCCCTCAAGGATGGGAGGTATTGGAAAATACAGCTAACAAAGGACTAAGGTTACTACCAGAAAGGTCTAGGCCACTGTTTAAATAGGCAGCACTTTCTTTTCCCTTAAAAGTCTTAATTGAAAAAAAAATAGACAACCACAGCCTTCTGGCTCAGCTATGGTTGGATGCAGCTTTAGTGCATAATCAGCATGTAAACAAAGATTAGGGAAATAGAAGAGGTGTGTAAATATAAACAAAGTAAGCACTACAAATTAAAAATGTACATGGATGCTTTTAGTCTTTTTTTTTTAATAATTTTTTTCTTCTCTGGACAGCAACGCCTAGTTTGGGAAGCAGGATTGCAGCTGGCTTAACCACCGGAGGAGTGGCAGTATTCATCGGGCAGCCCACGGAGGTCGTGAAGGTCCGACTCCAGGCGCAGAGCCATCTACATGGCCTCAAACCTCGCTACACTGGGACTTACAATGCTTACAGAATTATAGCAACAACAGAAAGTTTGAAAAGTCTTTGGAAAGGTAACTACCAGGTGGATTTTATAGTCATCAAGACACACATCACCGGTGACTACTGTATCATAAGCTAGAGTTTTTAAACATGGCTTTTTATTTTCCTTCTCCAGGGACAACTCCCAATCTGTTGAGAAATATCATCATCAACTGCACAGAGTTAGTCACGTACGACCTGATGAAGGGCGCCCTTGTGAGAAACAAGATACTAGCAGGTACCGTCCTGTGTCTCTAATTACCCCATCTACACCTTTATTATTTCGTCTTGGGCTTCCTTTCATCCCAAATAGCCTTTTAAAAAAAAAATTAAGTAATTTTGGACCATAACTTTTTGGAGAAGCAGAAAAAGACCCATGCTTCAAACTTCAAACTGTACCGCCACAAATGTTTGTGTCAAAGTGCAACTGCATTCTTATATCAATATTTTCCTCATTTAATACTGAAATGTGAAAAGTTGTTAGAATTAGTCTTAGTAGAACTCAGGTAGTGAGACTATCCTATCCTGTACAGTATCCACAGTACAGTACATAAGTGTCCTGTAGCCAGAAGGAGCTCATCAATAATTTCACCTGCCTGAGAATACCTTTCTAAAGATATTATAGCAACAGTTTCTAGACACATTGAAATTCTCCTGTGATAGTGACTTTCATGCAACTAAAAAGTATTAGGTGCCCAAATATCAGGTACTATGCCAATCTGTTGTTTTCCTAATGTGTTTATGATCTGCTATTCATGTATTATTGATCATCTTGTACTGCAAGTATAACTTGCTTACTATATTTTATTTATTTCTAAAGCATCCATCTTGACCTCATGTTGTCAAGGATCTGGTCAGTAACTAAACATGAACCACCCAAAAGACCGTGTTGACCTGTTTCATTGATCTGTTTCAGATGACGTCCCCTGCCATTTACTGTCAGCTCTTATTGCTGGGTTTTGCACAACGCTTCTGTCCTCTCCAGTGGATGTGGTGAAAACCAGGTTTATTAATTCTCCACCGGGACAGTACCTAAGTGTGCCCAGCTGTGCAATGACAATGCTCCTCAAGGAAGGACCCACGGCTTTTTTCAAAGGGTAGGATATGATCTTATCTGCAATGGTGCCTATAGGATGTCCATGCGCTTTGAGACACTGTTTCATTTAAACAGTTGGCACAGAGCTTGTGAGCCTCAGTATATGCACTGGACTTAGTATCAACTTTTCCTTGCCATGAATTTTTCCAATTCACCAATTCCACCGAGTCAGAAAATAAAAGGCTAGGACAGAAAAAGGTTTCCAGCCTTGCCCAGGAGCATATTCCAAATCAATGCCTTGCCATTGGTTCAAATCAACTGGAAGCATAGACCGTATTCTAATCATTATGCCCTTGTTCAGGAAGGAGGTCTATAAACTAGTGGAAAAGAGTAATAGAGAACTATGAGTAAGCAAAATTTGATTTTCATTATTTTAACATTGTAGGTTCAAGTTTCAAATTCTAGTAGAGCAAAAGTAAAGAAAAATCATTACGACTCACCAAGAGATATAGAAGTTAGGTGGGTGTTGGAGCACAATCTATAATCCCAGCACTCACAGGCTACTGCAAGAGGACTAAAAATTGTAGCACAGCCTAGGTAACTTACTGAACTAGTGACTTTGTCTCAAAATTAAAAAAAAACAGTGCTAGATATAGTGGCACACGCCTGTCACCTCAGCACTCAGAAGACTAAGGCAGGAGGATAGCTATGAGTTTGAGATCAGCCTGGGCTACACAATGAGTTCAAAGCCAGCCTAACTGCATAGCTGGATCCTGTCTTAATTAATTAAAATTTTTAAAAATTAAAAGGGTTGGGGATATAGCTCAGAGTGAAGAGCCTGGGTTCAATTCCTGAAACCGGGGGAACAAAAGTGAAAATTATGTGATTTGAATAATTATATTAGACTTAACCTAGAAATTACTATTGGGCAATAGATTACATAGATTACATTTTTCATAATATATTATATTGGAAACTACATTCCTAATAAAGTATAGTATGATCTAACTTTGAATGTGTCTATTAAAGACTATATTGACAGAAAAATAGTAAAGACTATGCCTCAAATTTTATAAAATAAGTTACATATCCATTATTCAAAATATTACAAGACTATCTGAACTTCTGATGCATTAATTGTAGAATTAACTTAAAATGGTTACACGAATTACTAATCATTAACCACTTAATGATTTTATTCTTTTTCAAGGTATAAAAACCTTTTAGGAAAGGCATAGTACAATATATAACACTGAAAACATTCTATGGCTAAGTAAAATAAGTCTTACAGAAAGACAAATAACATCAGATTCCATTTAAATCAGGTACCTAGTGTAGTTACAGATATAAGGACAGAAAATATAATAGTAGTTCTCGAGGCTGGGCAGGGGTGGACACGGGAAGTTGGTAGTTAATGGGCATACAGTTTGTCAAGGATCTATTGTTGTATTTCATTTTACCATATTTTTATTTTATTGTTTATTTATACTTTGGATTTCTTGTATAAGAGAAACCATTTGATATTTTTGCTTGCGTGTCTAATTCATTTCACTTCATGTTAGTCTCCAGTATATCTGCTTTCCTACAAATGACTCACATTTATCCTTCTTTATGGCTGAGTGGAACTTGATTGTATAGACATACCACATTTCTTTATCATTCACCTGTTGATAGACATAGTGGGTGCAGAGTTTGTTTGAGGTGACACAAGGATGTGGAACTGGATGAAACTGCCAGTTACACACTTGATGCCTCTCTATACATTTTTAAGTGGTACATTCACAATAAAAACTTCATGTATCTGGGAAATATATCAAGAGACCTGGGGTGAAAAAAAGGTCCCATGGAACATGTTTTCTGTAAACTAGATTTCATTTAAGAATAGAGGCAAAGCAGATCTGACTGTTGACACCTTGTGTTCTGGAATATTTCATTACTGTAAGCAGGCATTCAAAGATCAACTGTCGTACCTAGGTATCAGAATTCTTTAAAAAAAAAAAAACCCCAAAACCTTAAACAAGCAAACAAATGAAAATCTGTTTAAACCTGAACAGTATCTTTAAGGTAAGAGTTGCTGAGATGGAGACAATCCTGACAAGGAAGTCATCCTTTCTCCACTTTTGTCTGTTAATAGCATCCTTTTCTCTGCCTATTAAGCAAAGAAAAACAAAAAAAGTTATTGAAAACTATGCTTTGGCAGCAGTGAAGGATATTTATGGATTTACATAGACGCTATTGTTGAGGTTTTGTTGCTTTGAAGCGGTAAGGAACATCTATGGAACATCTTTAGTTTTGGCAGAGGACGGAGGAAGAATAGATGCTTTTAAGCATCTTCATTACAGGAGAGTAGCAAAATAAGAAACATAAACTGCCTGTAGTCTCTTAGTTTAAAAATTTCAAACTAATAGAACGGCGATGCACTTTTTTCCAGATTCGTACCTTCCTTCCTGCGACTGGCATCCTGGAACGTCATTATGTTTGTGTGCTTTGAGCAGCTGAAGAGGGAGTTGATGAAGTCAAGGCAGCCCGTGGACTACGCCACTTAATTGGCTTCGAGGAAAGGAAACAGCTTTCTTTGCTGATGCAACATTAGTAAGAGCAAACCCCCAAACAGCCTTCTTTACTTCGTTTCATCCTAAGATGATAAATACTGGTAGGGTAGAAAGCTTGGGACTTTGTTTTTTAAAAAAGGAAAACAAATATTATTTTGCAAAATTTTATTTTCAGTGTCTTAAAGAGAGAAAAGCATAACATTCAGTTTACACCATGTAATGTTTAATGACTATAGTAGATGCATTTGACTGATCACTTTAGGAATGGAATTGTGTAAGTGAATACGAAGAAGTTTAACACGTTAGAAAGGGAAAGCTGAATGGAGTGCATTTTACATTTATAAATACTTTAAATGAAGTTATCAATAAAGTAGCACTGTTTCCTTTTATTTATTAACCACAACTGTCAGTTAATGTATTCAATAAAGCATTGCTAATACCTTCTGAAGTTTGTCTTTTGGAATCTATTTCTGGATCGAAGAGTGGGGTTAACCTGAATACAAAATTATCCTGTAACAAGCAGAGGTCTTTAGAACGAATAGGCATAGACTGACTGTTATTAGCACAGACTTTGGGTTTTTACAGGTCACAATTTGCAGAATTTCTAAGCTGAGGCACTCTATCCCTGTGGGCATTGTGTTAGGGGCATGGTGTCTACTCTAAATTCACAGTTCCATGCTGGAAGACCCCTTTAGGAATAAGAGGAAGAGTCTGAAATTGCTGCTGAGATGAAAATGAAGGTGTAAATTGTAAAATCAATTTATAGATGAAAATCAGGGGTCCCAAACCCAATTTTTAGGCTTTATTATGTCTTTAAGAATCTTGGGAACTTTTTACATGGTGAGTTTCCCGCAAGAGAAAAAGGTATTACAACCTTGGGCAACTTTTGTGTCCTAAAACTGAAGTCCTTTTTTTAAAACAATGCCTCACCATGCAGTTGAGGCTGGCCTTGAGCTCACACTATGTAACACAGGCTGATCTTGTAACAATCCTCCTGGCTCAGCCTCCCAAATGGTGGAGATTACAAGTGCGTATTACCAGGCCTGGCGCCCAAAGTTTTTCTTAAAAGGAGTTTTTAAGTTATAGTTTTCTTCATCTTTTCCATCTGCTTTTATTCTATCAGACCTCCTTATTTTGCTTCATAGCAAGACTCTTCGTGGCCTGACTTCAGATCCCTCCCTCGGTCTCTGACCAGTGTTCCTTGGGACCACTTCCCAAGAGGATTGCAAATCCTTGATAAAAGCTCTGACTCTGAGGGAATCCAAAACAAACCACAAGCTTAGAGTAATAATTCCTTCAAGAATCCAGCAACACCAAGAGTGCTGGGTCCTATGGAACAAAAAATTATTTGGTCCTCAAACAAATACCTCACTACTGCAGAGCGGAAACGGCTGGACAATGGGATCACCACGGCCAGATGAAAACTTTCTCTGTCCTTCTCCTCAGAGTAAAATCAAACATAAAAACCAGTCTTTCTCCCCTGGGCCTCACAATGTCTTCCTCTCCTGGACTTTGGCCTGCTGTTCTCTTTGTAGTAGGTACATCAGTAAACTCAGCTATTTTGTATTTCTTGATCATTGGAAAATTCTTTTTTACCACCTACACCACCAGTTCTTCAGGTGTGTCCCTCGAATGGCAATTGCTTTGATGGCTCTGATAATCTTAGCTGGATTCAAGTTTCTTAAAAATGCCATTTGTGCCATCTTCTGTTACTAATTTCAATTATTCTTAGGTTAGTCTTCTTTGTATCACCTAGCTGCGGTTAGATGTTTTCCATGACCTCATTTTTAAGTATATTATCACCTGTATCACCTCTATCTTCCAGCTGTGACACTGCCCTTACCCTAGTCACTTCAGCTATATTCAGTAGAATTGTATCTCCAGAATTTGATTCCTTTTCATGGACTCTTTAATTCTTTGCTAAACTGCCTACTCATGTTAACTCAGCTCACTTGTACGTTAAGCTCACTGATCACTCCAGTTCATTATCTGCTTAGTTCTACTGTCTTTGAGCTCACGGAGTGGCTTATTGATGTTCTGTTTCATCACTATGTGTAATTCAATCATTTGGTTAATTTCGTTCCCATCTATGTCCTGTGGGCCATTTTTGGAGATGAGAATTCCTGGAGGCATTTTGTTCTTTTGTTTTTTCCTTTGGGCTGAGCATTCACGGTCAATTTGAGTGGAAAGGCTCAGTTGCTAGTATGATTTCTTTAGTGTCTATTTACCAGCAATATGATCTTGGCTTTACTGCGTATCTCTTTAAACTATTTACAAGACTGGACCTGGTTGCTTATACATGTGGAGACAGTCTCTCTCGCTGGGAGCCAGGGTTAGAGTTCAGGCCTGTTTCTTTACTTGCTCTGCATTGTCCCTCGCTAAGTAATATTTTAAGAAATACTTGCATTTTATCTAAAGTTTCAAATTTTGGTAAAAATCATTCTTATATTCAGTATTTGTAGGACTTGTAGTAATGTCATTCCTGATATCACTGCTTTTCTGTTTTTCTTACCTAATTTTATAAGTGTATTTTTCACATGTTACATGCTTTATTCTATGCACTTAAAACTTTTTAATAGTTCCTTCTAGCTTTCCAGTACATTTATTTTGCTCTCCATCAAATCCCTTCAGATGGAAACTGTGTGTTTAACTTCCATACTTTGTACATTCTATGTGTGCTTAGCATTAATGCTACAATTAGTAATTTTAACAAGTCCTGCTTTAGCTTTGGCCAACCTGTTCCATACATAATATTTTTATTTCAAAATAAAATGTACACATACCAGAATGTTATGCCATTATAAAAAAATTTAAAAAAGGAAGCTTTTTACATGAAAATAAATCCAAGCTACACTGAAAATACTACAGGGCAGTACAAATGGCTCCCACTAAAAAAGGGGTGGCGTGAGATGGAGGTGGGGGCTTCTCTAAAAAGCAAACTTTCAGTCTTATTCTCAATTACATCAGCATTTGAGTTAAAAATTCACAAAAATAAAGGAACAATCGCTGTATCTAAATAACAGATTAGATAAAACACTTTCATGAGTATAAATGACTTAAGGGATGAGGCGGACAGGAAGATACGAAAAGCATTAACAGGACGCTTACAATTTCAACGTTTTTTATTTGTTCACTTAACATCACAAACAAAATGACATCACATTACACACTACTGCTTTTACTTAAGAAGTCAACTGATTATCCAAAGTAGACAAAAAGTTTCTTTCTTTAAACTGCCAACTGGCAGTTTTTCCTCCAGGGAACATTAGTGCTTAAATATTGCTCAATGCCTTAACAAAAACACAGAATCATTCTGTAACAGTTTGTAGTACTTGGGTCTTACCCGCACTACATTTTTTTTTTAGTTTTTTCCATGAAAAGCTGAAGACAGTCAAAACAAAAACACAAGTCATGATTTCTTTCAGGGTGCTAATCTTTTAATCTTAATTAAAGATTGCTAGTGAGATGTTCATAAACATGAAAATGGAAACTAAGCCTCCCAAGTCATGTTCCTAGGGAAGCAGGGTAGACCATTCATCCTGAGAAATTCCCTGCTGACCCCTAGTCATTATTTCAAGGATAATAAACATTACTGCCTGCAAGCCTAATGTCCCCTTCTCTGTGCCTTGACAGTGTGTCTAGAAATGAGCATCCACTTTTTATGCTCATGTAGTTTTCCCTTTGAGCAAATTTTAGATCAAATCCAATTTCACTGTTCTCAAAGGGGAGAACAGCATATCATCAACTATGAACATGGAATAAAAGTGAAGAGCACGTATATTTTAACATAAAAATACATACAAATTCAACTAGCTCTTAAAAATAGAAAAAAAACAGGAGCATTTTTAAGAAAAAGATTGTTTTCTAAACTTTAAATAGTGCCAGTTTAAGACAGATTTTAAAAATCAATGTTACATTTATTTACAAGGGAATGGTATAGGTTTACAGACATCACATTTCTTCAAAGATTGTCTTTCAGAACACGTTTAAACTGTAGATGTTAACTGTCTCTGTTAGACTGTTCTTGTCACTGGCACAAGCTCTTAAACCTGGCACACACAAAAATTCATTTCCACATTGATCTGACTTTTTTGATGCTAACACTAACATTTTTCCTGCTACTTCAATGCCAAATAATATTTTATCACTACCTTGGCATTTTATTAAAAAGATTCTAAATGTGAATTTTAAGATTATGTAAAATTCTAACACAATGTTGAAAGGAAAGTAGGAAGGCTGAAACAATTATATTGTTCTTGTCTTGTATGTCACTATCACATATAAATCAAAGAGCTCATGTTACATTCTAATTTACAATTGGCAGGCTGCCTTTCCAGACTACCAAGTCTTAGAATTTATTGTGGCTTTTAGATCAATCTGTTATATAACTGTCTGAAATGATTAATGATAATTTAAGCAAAAACAACATTATCTGTAGTGTACAGAGATGAATTTAAAGAACATATTATTGAACAAACTTTATAATGACATTTTCTTGAAATATTAGATTTTTTTTTTCTTTCCCTAGAAGGGGAAAAGACTTAACAGGTTTTCTGTTACTTCAAGCATTTTTTTAAATTACATACATATACTGACAAAGGTTTAAATGGGTGTCAAGATCTGTTTTTGAAAGATCAAAATACAAAGATAAACATTTTTAGCACAAAAATTAAACACTGACAACTGCTTACCATGAACATCAGTGGTTAACATCTGCTTATCAGAATTTTGCTACACATCTTAAAGCTCTAGCTGGACAATAAATCATGAGAATATTTTTAAAAAACTAAGTGAAGATATTCCCAACGTTGAAAAGTCTCCTATAAGAAATTATTAAACTCCTATCATACTGCAAAGTTAATTTTCACTATTATAATAAAAAGAACAAAGTTTTAAAAATAGTTTCATCTTATCAAGAAAAAAATAATTTTAACACTGTATCTATGATTTTCCAATCGGATATTTCATGTTTTGGATGAGTTTGGAGAGGTATGTCAAGGTGCGCAAAATGACTTGAAAAGCACTACATGTTGCTGTATCATATACAAGTTACTCCTTAAACACTCAAGACATACCACACTAAAAGATGTGTACGATATCGTGTTGTAAATTAAATCATGTCTTTAAGAAGTGGGTTGTGAAGGGTTTAAGGAGAATGTAGCAATGCGATGAACTTTCCTGGCCTTAAACTCATTAGTTTTTTTGTTTTTTGAGACAGCGTCTCGTGATGTAGTTCAGGCTATTCTTGCTGGCCTCAAACATGTGGCAATCTTCCTGCCTCTGCCTCCTGAGTGCTGGGATTATAGGCATGTACTACCATGCGTGGCTTTCGGTTCTCTTAGTCTTTCTAGGAGTACGAACTTCCAAAACACACCAAAAGAAGTTGTTCTCATTAGAATCTCATCCCATATCATCCTCGACAGCACTTGCTGTCCTCCTGAGCTTTTAGGAGAATAAAGCTATATAAAACGCACAGTCATCAGTCTCAAGCTGCTTTATCACCCCCGGACTGCAAACGTGAGGTCCACACACTTCCAAGAAACACCACGGGGTCTGAGCAAAGGGAAGCAGACTTCAAAGTCACATAGACCAACGGTGCTTAACTAAGGTTTTAAAAGGCTTTTCTTGTTCCAGAGACAGCTTTGTTTTAAGAGAAACTGTCTTCTGAACGCAATCAAGACTTTCTTAGCAAATACATCTCTTTTAATAAACAATACAGACGGAGGCCCTCACACTTAAAGCACTAAATAAGGCTGGGTTTTTTTAGACCTCAAAAAAAGTAAATTCTAAAGATGAGAAAATGCCTTTAAACTTGAATATAACACTGACATTTAAAGTGTGTTATTTAAAAACAAAAAATCAATACTGTCTTTCTTTCATTATTTGTATGTTCCAGTTATCTCCAAGAAACAAAAAGATCGTAATTCTTTATCCTGCCAGAGATTTCTGTATTTTTGTGACTACTAATAAAGTGTCATTTGATAAGTGATTGAGATGCAAACAAAGAAAGCCATAAAGAACTACTCTTGGGTTGCAGATGTAGCTCAGTGGAAGAGTAGTGTTTGCTTAGCATGCAGCAGGGCCTGGGTTCAATCCCCAGCACCACCAATTAAACAAAAAACAAAGAACTGCTTTTACAGTTAACCAGCCTAGAAATAAAAAAACAAAGCAAATTAGAACCAGTCATCTGCAGACTAAAAAGCAAAAAAAAATTTTAAGAGCTTTTAAAGATACCAACTTGATAGCTATAACACATAAAAATGAAAATTGATTTGTACACATTTTAATCAACCAATTTGATACAAATACCTGACTCACACTAACAGACTAAATCCCAAGCTCCAAACTATAGTTCACATAGCTCTACAGAAGGGATTTTTGGAAGGATAAGGTAACTTTGGAGAACAGTGTATAAACAATTGTAAACATACACTGATTGTCCACTAGCTTTTTAAAATAGAATTTCTGAAGTATTTCTGTAGGAAATTATACATAAGAGTGTAACTGATCAGATAATTTCTATTACAACATATAAATTCTGTTGTGTGTGCAAAATGTGGTAGAAATAGAAACTATTATGGATGACTTATATTTTTAGAGTAAGTGCTACATTGTAATCCATTAAGAGTCCTTTAATCTTTTCATGAAACTTCTCTCTATACAGGTTGAAATACATAATGCTTTCTGGTTCCTCTTCAAACCAAAACTTATCAAATTCATAGACAAGATAACCTGTATTTAAAGAAAAAAAAAAGTCATTAACAGTAAAATTATATTAAAATCATCACATTTTCAGAAAGTACATAACCTTTCAAATTCCATATTGGGACACAGTTATCAAAAAAGTCTTAGAACTATTAGAAATCTGGAAACCTTTATAAGAAATATTTTTATGGTCAAAATAAACAGTAATTTCAATAAAATATTTAGTATACATTCACTGTCTCAAAAATCAACAAAACCCCTCAAACATGGGAGACAGAACTTTCCAAAGAGACTTGGACAAGGAAGTCTGGAGTGTAAAAGTAAAAATATGTGAAAATGTGGAGCAGGACAGAGACGGGCGAGCTGTTTCCATTTACCACTTGATTTCTAAATCTAAAGGTTATTCATGTTCATCAATGGACTACCAGTACTCTCTTTTTGAAAAGAACACATGAAATATGAAATGGCTTAACATTTTTGCTTTTCAGCATTTTCATACATTACCCAGGTGAGCTGTCAATATGCTGAAAACATCTCATGAAAACAAACACATGTATATATGAATTTAAATGTAAGTTTAAAAGTCAATCAAATGTCCTTGTTGAACCACTGATTTTAAACACACCAGCAGTGAGCACAGTGTGCCACCTCCCCCGTGTCGGCCTGGCCTAAGCTACACTGCTTCCCCAGCCCACCCCATGGAGCAGGCTTCCAGAGGCCACTGGTGTGGCCGGCCACATCACTTCATCTGTAAGCAGCCTGTGGCATAAACTGAATTTTGGTTCCCATCAGAACCCCACTGCCCCTTCTAAAAGGCTTTCCAATCATGTAACAGTTTTTAAATATTGTGTTCCATTTTCATTTCCTTAAAACTTATTTTACACACACACAAGAGCAGCACAGATAGAAATTACACATAAATATACAAACTGAGTCTGTGTTGGCCCTCATCTCCACCCCCAATACTCTGATAGAGATGTGGATAAAAGAACTTAAGAGATTAATATTCTAGTAGGAAAAATCGCAAACCATCCAAAGCTCACGACATATGCCATTGGTTTTACTATTACCTCTGCCTCTTAGATGTAGCTCTTTTCCCTGATGCTCTGTGAACTGCCTGCCCACTACTGTCAGTAGTCTGGCCCATTCAAATGGCTACAGGCTGGAACAAAATGCTCAAGTCCTAGATACTTCCTGCTTCACAGCGATGATGTTGGTGTCCAAGAGAAACTGACTCAAGGAGCCAAAACTTTGATAGCTACCCTGATTTAGTAAAACATCAGGAAACTACAAGAAAAAATGGTGTCAAATTTCTAGGAAGCTGGCAGGGCCACCTAGACTCCAAAGCACTTAGGAAATGATGGGAACGAGCTATTTCGATACAGCACATGGAGTTTTCATTTGACTTTAAGATGTTTAAAATAAACTTAATAGAAATTCCCATACAAAATTTCTAAACTTCAAATTTCCTGTAGGGGTTAATGGTAAGCCACCATGAGCATCTTACAAGGCTAAGAGAAATGTTCTAATACTGGATTATGATAGTGGTTGTTCAAGTTAGTAAGTTTATTAAAATTCACTGAAATACTTCCAATGGATAAAATTATCCCTCAATAAATCTGCTATTGAAGCACAACTTTTTGGTTATAGAAACTTGGTTTTTGAAACCCACCAAACCACAAGTCTCTGGTCCTCAAACACTAGAACAGAGGCATGGTAGACAGGGATATGTGGAAGCTGGATGTCCCTGCAACCCCGAGCCTTTGCTGGACCAGGAGATCACAGCTCCCCAAGGTGATTGTGGATACCTGCTCACAATTCACCTAGCCAAGAAGGGGACAGTGGAACAAAGAGACTTATGTTACCACTACTGTCCCCAGTCCTTACACAAAACCCCATCACCATAAAAGCAGGAGGATTAAAAAGAGAGTTTAAGACACATCACAAGGAAATATATGAAAGCTAATCTCTTTATAGTTTTTGTTCTGAAAAAAAAAAAAACAATGACTTTGGAGCTGATTTATTAAAAATAAATGGACTCATTACTCAAAAAAAAGATACAAGAAATTCTATGTATAATCAAAATACAAGGTTTGAAATTATTATACCAAGTGGAAAAGGCTCCTTTAAAGAAACGCAAAACCTTAACACATGAAATTTCCACTGATAAATGGCATGAAAAAAATTTTTTTGAAACTTCTGCTTACAAGGAGAGCTCCTATGTGTGTGTTACAATATCTGAGTAAGTCTGGAAAGTGCAGGTTTCACTGCTGGTATGATGAACCACAGCTGTTACATGGACCTGAACCGACAGAAACAAGGCAACTGAGAAGACTTTATTTTCCCAGCTTGGACAGGACTTTGGCACCCTTCCCAGACAGAACCCAATGGAGACGCTGGTGTCAAAGGCACTGGAGAATAATAACAGTACTGAAAGATCCTCAAGTGACCAATCTTTAGGGGAAAAATACCAAAAGACATTTTGCTCTGTTTCCCTATCTATCCTCATGTATTTAGTTAAACTCAGGAAACTGCTTATTTGAGGGAGCTTCTGGATTATTTTAAAATTTGTTTTATAGAGCCGGATGTGGTGGCGCATGCCTGTAATCTCAGCACTCAAAAGGCTGAGGCAGGAGGATCATTGCAAGTTCGAGTCCAGCCTGGGCTGCAAAGTGAGCCCAAGGCCAGCCTGAACTGCATCATGAAACTCTGTTTCGGAAAAAAAAAAAAAAACCTGTTTTATATTTAAGAGCAGCATCAAACAGGATGTACCATATTAACATGGGATACTAGGTGACAAAGTAACAGGAGTTCAAGCCCACGCTAGAAGAGGGATGAGAGATTTGGGACGAGGAATCAAATAAGACAAGTGTGTGTGCAGCGGGGTGCTCAGTTCCACAGCAATGAGCTGAAAGAAAAGAACTGGTGCGATGGGTGAAAGAAGATGTAGACTTGAATGAAAATCTGCTAAAATGACTGAGCCTCCCAGAAAGAAGACTGGCGGTGTCTGAGTCAAGGCAAATTGAGGGCAAGGGTTCTTTCCAGCTCACAGCAGAAACATCATCTCTGGATAGATGTGTTAGGGTTATGCAGACCCAGCTTTGTTATTTCCATCTGGGGCAGGTAAGGCATGCAGCCAATCTCCAGGTCAGTCAGGAAGTAGAGGCCAGGAGGGTATGCGCAGCAATGATGGCCTTCAGGTGGTAAAAGAAAGCGCCTCATGCCTGCAAGGAATCTTCACTCTGCTGAGGTACAGTCATCTAGGCTGGTCATTCGGGACCTGGAAAACCGCCTGCCCGTCCACCTGAAGACACTGTACACTGGCTTCCACCCTGTGGCCCCAATCCCACAGGCTCGTTCATCAAATTAAGAAAAGAGGTCCCAACACACAGCGCTGAGCTAGAGGGAGCAACTGGGCTACAGCGCTCTGTTTGAGCCTTAATAGTACACAGATAGCATTTCGAGCTGGGGGCTAGACAAGATCCCTCAGGGAGACAATGAGGGCTACAGAGAGAAGCGGGCTGAGGCCTGGGCTCCTCGGAGCTCCCACACTTAGCAAGGCTGTGCACATCTGTGGCAAATCCAGAGGAGCTAGAAGATAGCAGTGTCAGAAAATCCAGGACAATGTTTCCAGGAGAAAGGTGTGATCACATCAAAGTCTGCTACTGCTAAAAGGACAAGTAACACGAGGAAAAATCACAGCAGTTGCATGAGGCATGAAAAAATATTGAGAAAATGAGTTTCCATGGAGTGAGGAGAGAAACTAAATTAAAATAGGATAAAAAACTAGAGGTGAAGAAATGAGAAAAGCACTTATTTGAAAGGTTTTCAGATGAAGGGCAACAGAGCACCAGAGGGTGCCTGGAGAAGCATGCTGCCCACAGATCCCAGTTCTCTGCTTCTGAGCAGTAGTTCAGGGGATGCATTTACTGGACTAAGTCTTCTGGGCTCAACGGTCAGCAGAATGAAAGCTCATGAACAGTGCCGATGGCCACTGCTTCAGGAGTGGTTATCCAGCATCCCTGCCTACCACAAGGAAACCTGCACTTGCAAGGAGAGGGGTCAAAAGCTCCTTTACCTGACCTTACAAGAAGAATGAAAAATAATCTGTAAATGATCTACCCTAGTCATTAACCAGCATTAAAGATAGAAAACTCATTTTACACTTACTAGGGAAGTGCATGAATTTGAAACTTGCATACATGTAAAAACTGCCTTGCTAAACTTTTTTTTAATCAGCAAATATAAAACCTGAAGTACAATACATTCCTAGACATCTATCTTCCATTATTTCTGGCTTTCAAAGATCCTAGATAATAAAATGATAAACGTAAGCTTTATACTTGTTACATTAAATCAAAATAGGTATTCCACCTTCCTAATGGTTTAAAGTTTCTTAGATCCAGTATTAACGTGCCCTGATACTCACAGTAAAACTGGTGAAAGTGCTCCATTGTGGGCGCACCAGGAACGAAGTTGTAGAGGTGAAACTTCAAAGCTTCGCTCTTCAGTAGGCTATAAGCCATCTCTGTAAGATTGATCCCAACTATTGCATAAGAATACCTATGTCAGAAACATTACCAGTTATACCAGATGGCTCATAAAATAAATTCAAACTATGTAAGGAATTAATAAAAGGTGACTATTTCATTTCTGATACAATATTGCTTTCAGAATAATTTCTTCATATTAAGAAAAATAAACTTTAACTCCATAAATGAGCAATGTCTGTAATGCAAGTAGTATGGCATGCTGAATGTCACATGACCACAACTGGTTCTGTCTTACTGCTTTGATATACGAGTGCTTTGGGTTATGAGCAGAATGAATTATTCTAGCAAACCAAAGTTTTACTGTATATACAAAACAGCTTATGATCACATCTTTCCTTAAAAATAATGTCTCATCCAATATTTTTTATAAAGTTCTTATTAAAATAGTATTTTAGGAAATGATACCCTGAAAGAAATATCCTGAAATGCCTTCAAATGCATTTAATCATCTAATCATTTTTAATGTTATCCAGCTTACCCTAATTTTGGATGGTTTGAGCGGGAAAGAATCTGATGAGCTTCCCTGGTATAATTTTCACTGAAATACCTAAAAATGTTTAAGAAAAATAATGAAATGAGCCTATGTCATTCAAACTTAGTAACAATATCCAGATGTAATCACTATAATCAAAGTCATAATCCTAGATTGCCATAATCATCTCATTCTCCACACCAAATCACTTCAGTGATTCATGTTTCTGACTCAAAATAATCCTTAAGAATTAAGCCTATCTTGTACAAGCATAATCTTTGGCATTTTGTAAAATATGTTTTTAAAAAATCACATACAGTGACTTCGTCTTTATAGAAAAAGATTTTTATAAACATTTGCTTGTTTCTATAAATCAGTCAAAAATGTACCTGTTTGGGACCTTTCCTTTCATCAAAGCTTACTATCTTTACTACAAGCTAAGTATGTAATGTTTAGTGGCATTTTTAGTGCAATCAAAAGAGTCAATAATGTTCCACTTATTAGAAAAACTTTTTAAAAACTTGATACACTACATTATTGCCAATAAAACAGAAGCATTAGGTACGGGAGAAACACAGATACCTATTCGCAAGTTCACACATCCTCCTGGCCTACATTAATGCAACCTCCTTGAGCTGTTAAAGATAGGACCAAATCTGTTCAACTTTCGTCTCACTTCATAATCAATGGTGCACACAAACACGCATGTGGGCACACACACACACACACAACTGGACAGATGCTGACAAGAAGACAATAAAACACTGATTCTCATGGTTTCCATTGTAGAGTGCATAATTTTAATGCATAGAGTTCATTAAAATTTTCTCAAAGTATAGAAAATTCTAATTTTCCTATTTTTTTCTTCCATGGACTAGTGGCACACACTTTCATTCTTCTTCCACAGCTCGAATTTTCCACCCTTTAAACAGGGGGCTGTCAACTTAGATGCCAATAAATGAAGGAGCAATTAAGACTGCAGGTGCCTTTCCAATTTCCTTTCTGTCAGTGCAGATTTTCTGTGGATACATCTCTGAGGAGAGAACATACAAAGCTTTCTCGGGTCCCCAGACAGCTCTGTAAACCCCAAAAGTCTGCTAGGGCAAGGCTTTCCTAAGGCTCCAACTCCGCTTGATCCTTGGGCTGTTAGATTTCATTTCTGGTGCAGCACTCCTCATTCCATATACTTTGTGTATACTGCTGTTTTAAAGTGAAGCTATCCTCATCCGTAAACAGCACCTTTAATTCCCTTGCTGAACTTACTGAGCTGAACGTACCCTGTGCTGAGTGCCACACCTGCTTCCATTTTTCCCCTTCTCCTCCTTCTCCTCTCCGCCAGTCTTTCTCCCCACGTGCATTTTTGGCCTTTACTTGCAGATTCTTCTGCTTTGCTGTTTCCATTTCCTCATTTGTTCACACTTTTTCAGTCTCCCTCAACTTTGTTTTCTGCACAACATCCTTTCTTCTTCTCCACCCATCCCCATTCATTTATTTTAGCCTGGTTATTTATCAAACCATCAACGTACTTTAAAACTGGAAAATATCTTAACAGACTACGTGACAGAGGCCAAGAAATTTAAAAATAATAAATGACAGTACTTTAATAGCTTGCCTACTCCTTGACTATGTAATTAGCCTCTAACATACAAAAGACAATAAACCAAATTACAGAAGAATCACTTGTATGTTTTAAGTCATTTTAGTACACTGTTGGCAATCAATTACTAACATATGGAAATATTTCAAATCAGCTAATACTAGTGCTAAGTGGAGTAAAAAATATCAGGAAGTCATTTAAAGGTTTGCTAGAATCCCTGGCCTCAACCTAGAGTCAAATTCTACTAAATTGTTCAAACTTTATACTAAATTCTCTTCAGATGGATGCTGAGAGATCATTTTATAATTAAAAAATTAAGATTACTGTGTTGTTTATCTCTAAGAATTATTCAGAACATAAATGCCTATAAAGCTTAAATATTTCAAGAAATCACATACTTTTGTAATTGAAAAGGAACTGTGGATATTGAAATCCTACTATAAAGTCCTCTTTCCCCAGAACAGCCCTCCTGATACTGACCCAAATATTTTTTCTCAGTAGTAACCCAATTTAGCTCAATTTCAGAATTTTTTCACAGTAAGAATCAGCAGTTGGCCTCCCACTGTAGACACCTTAGAGTCTTTAAATATAATTTATGGACAGGCCCAAACACTAGAACCTGCAATTCCTAATAGAAAATTATATATTCCAGTTTGTTCTCGAGAATAATTTTGGCTATCATTTACAACTTGAGTCGCATGTTTTGGGATTCGACTAATGCACACAATCATAAATAATAAAGCAGGAAGAGCAAGTCCGCGTTGGCTCTGAAAAATCAGGGATTTACATTAGTTATGACAAGTAGTGAAGAACACACATGAAGACTTTTTAATCATCTTATATAGTTGTTTTTCCCTAAATGGAATCAGAACCCAGAGAAAAAAAGGATATTTTTAGTAAGAAAAAGAGTATGCACGATGAAAATGAATACCAGACAGGGATCCAAGAAGAGAAAGGGAACAGAAACACTAGTAAGAAATCTCCCCACCCCACCCCACCCCCACACATATACCTATAGCACTGCATTAAAATTCAGAGACTGTATGAAATAACTAGATCAATTCTTATTACAAATTAACTAGCCTGGAAATTACACATAATTCATTGTAAGAGAAAACAAACCTTATTTTCACTTACACGAGATTGATTAATCCAAGTATGCCCATGCCTCTGAAGTCTGTTTTGGGATCATCCCCCTGGAAACCAATGTCAGCCCACTGCTTGGAGATTCTAGCTGTCAGCTTCACCGTGGGCATCAGGAGATTCCAAAGCTGTGTAAACATGCTTCCGTATTACAAATAATAGTGCTGCTCTGAATTTAAAGACACCTTCCTTTTCATGGTTTACATAACTAGTAATGGATGCTTTTGATTAAAAAACTTTTGTAGACCTATCACAAGTAGTTCAACAAAGATTAATTATAGAAAACTTTTCAATCTCTCTAAAAAACGTAGTATATTTAACTCAAATGACTGCTATAAATACATTTTGAAAAGATAGTAAATAATACAAAGAAACCTCAAAAACTGAGAATAACAACTCAATAAATGAATTGTTATTACACATGTACCAGAATTAACTGTCTGCCTGAGAGCTCCAGGGTAACTGTGTCTTTCACTTGGCCGTATTGTAATAGTGGATGATTAAGGTCTAATGTGAAGGATGGAACCAGGTCTGAGGAAGAGGATCATCAACTCAATATCCTAACTAATAACTACTTTATAAATCTTCAGTTTTAGAAGAAAAATGTATGATTTGGTTTCAAATAAATATCTTTTAAAGACAGAATTTAATTACAGCTATCAGATACTACAAACCGACAAAACTAATCAAAGCAAAACAGACTTACAGAAGTCGATTTAACAAAAAGTTTGTGAGAATGTACAAAATACAACACCCCCTCCATTTCACTCCATTTCCAGCACTGCTGAGTAAAGGATTCCTAATAAAAGTATCACATTACCTAGAATAAAATGTAAAGACTAGTGACCTTCCTTTAAAAACTGGCTCTACCTGCAAAGTCTAGTCATTAAACTAGGTTTTACCTTGTCCTTACTTTTATTACCAACACACACAATTTGTTCATGTTAACATCTCCTCACAAATTCAGCAAGGAGTATCACAGGGGTGATGTGAGAGCTGCAGTGCGTAATCCGCAGAACTCAAAGTTTAGTTTAATATGCACAAGCATCAAATTTGTGGCCTCCATCCCTGGAGATTCTGATTTCATGAGGATAACATGGTACTCTGGAATCTATATACTAATTAATACCGGTTAGGTCTAGTGAAGGTGGCCCGAGGGCTGTACACATGGATTCCACAGCTTTGTAGCCAGGAAGATGGTGGAGTTAACGCATGCTGCTTAAGTCACTGCCAAGAACTGGCTCTCTGCCTGCAGCATCAAATTTTATAATGAATCATTATGGTAATGTTAGCACTTGTATCTTATCCCTTTTAAATGGGAAAGTACTGTATAGAAAAGGTCTGAAATGAAAAAAAATAACTACGAGGACAGAAAACAGTGGTTAATCGTCAGTGTGTCAGATATTACTTTAAACACTTTAAATACAAAAGGAAAATCCATGCAACAGTTTGAGATATCTACCTGTATTGTCCTCATTTTACAAAAGTAACATATATTAATTTTATAATCAGTTGAAGTATATATTTTATTCTTTTCATAGAAAAAAAACTTTTATTTTTAAACCTGTGTCTCTTACTTTAGATGTTCTCAGTGTTTCTTTCCACTTTTGGTTCTAATGACTCCTAGGTCCAAGTATATGTGCAGTATTCTTTAATCATTTAAAAATGATAATTAGAACAGGCATATAGGACAGAAAAAACTTCTCTTTTTTAGTTCCTACCATCTACTACTAAAGTGAATCACTTCATCTTCTCTGCGTCTTAAAACCCTTGTCCCTAAAACTGAATGATGTATAAAGTTTACTAATTTTAAAGGACTAACACACTTGAATTTTGGCACTTCATTTATCTTATCTACTTATACTTCAATAATAACAAACAGGAAGGTTTTTAAGTCTATTGTAGCATTGTCTAGTAACATTCCATAAATCTTAAAAGATTTACATAATAACTTATAAAGGAATATACAAAGCCTCAATTTGAGAGTAGCCAAAAATAATGCCAAATAGGAGCAATCTACATAAAAAGTGCTGTGAAAATCTAAGGTTTACGAATCTAGTTTTTTGGTTGAAATGATCTTTTATAATTTATTTCATAATTAAAAGCATTAAAATAAAATTCATTTGATTTAAAAAAATCCATTAATTTAATGATGCTTATGAAATTATAAATATTGCTGACTAAAAATCTTTCTGTATCAATATAATCTAACATAATAAAATTCTCTAAGGGGTAAAGCAACTGGATAGCTAAATAAGCCTTTAGAATTTGCACAAAGACCTTACTTAATTCAAGCTTAATTAATTATTTTATGTTCAACAATTCCAAATACCAAAAACAAAATTTACCTTTAGGAGTAGCTTTTCATGTTGTTCATTATCAGAATCATATGGTCTTTTCCTCACGTCTTCTACATCCAAATAGAGTTGTTTATACCCAGTTATCTGTAGCAAACATGTCTTCATGCAGATTTTAAAACTGAAAATGTTAAAACTTTTTTAAAAATCACACTATCACAATAAAGTAATACCTTGCATAGCTTGTAGCTCATGTGTCTATTTAGAAAGCATTTCCTGAGTTTCAGTTTAATTCAACAAGAAGCAAAAGTCTCCTTAAACACTCAACATATACCAAGTATTACGCAGAATATGGTAATACAGGGCCCAGGAGGATGTGATAGGGTCAAAAACCTTTGCAGTCACAAGACCTGACCTTCCTTTCCAGTGTTTCCTATGGGCGACCTCATACATCCTCAAATCTCTAGTTCCAGATACCAACAACAGACCTAACCCTCCAAGAATAACAAACAGCTCTGTGACAGGTCACTTGCATTTTCCTGACTATAACAGCTTATCTTCTCTGAAAGAACAGGGTAGGGGGTTTCTAGATGAACAACACCGTTAACCATTAGTTCCCCAGCAAGAGCACACCAGCCTCTGACCCACCTCTCTCTGCCAGCAATACACACATCAAAGGTTGGGGATGTAGCTCAGGGTAGAGAGGGGGCCTAGCAGGCACAGGTGCTGGGTCTGACTCACACACACACACACACACACACACACACACACACACACACACACAATACACACATCAAACAGTGCCCACTCCCTCACCCTGTCTTTAAAGTATCCTTCAAACTAATCCTCACATCACTAACTCCCCTGCTACATTTCTGGCTTTGTCATTTCTTTCCCATTTTCCTGTTTTCCTTATTCCTCTACTCATCTCACACATCCCAAAAGCTACCCTACATCTTCCCTCAGTACATATCTGACAATAGAGCGTGTGAGTCCACGTCTGGCATGCTCATCTGGCATGTAAGGTGTCGCGTGTAACCAACCCAGCACTCCACTAACCTCCTCTCGGGGAGCAGAGCACATGGGTGCCTGCAGCATAGCAGAGCGCTCCATGCAAGCACAGGGCAATGCACCTGACTCAGACCGAGGAGCCGAGGGACCTCGCCAGACACAAAAGCCAGTCATCTAACCTTGGGAAAGTAACAGTAAGCACCCAAAGGAGGCCAGATAGTATGCTGATCACTGCACTAGACTGGAAACCAGCAGACACAGGTTTTAGCCCTGTGGCTTTCCTCCACCTCTCCAGACCTCAATAGCTCCTGTAGTGATGTGAAAGGGTTGAATTAGATTATCTCTACAAAGTTTTAAAGCCATGTGATCTCTACACCTGACAAACTGTGAACACATTATAAAATAGTATTAATACTACTACTACTACTAATAATAATGTGAAGGCAACACACCTGGTATCCTTCTCGGGGTTAATATTTTTTTCCTTCATTATATCTTCTACATATTTATCCACTTCACTCTCAACTGCTTGTGTTGCTTTCTGTAAAATCTATTGACATGAAAGAAAGCTGAATGAGAAAATTCTGATAGGTAAAAGAGGTACATTTCTCAGGGATTTAATCAACTTTACGAAGAAAATATTAAAGTGCAGAAGGAAACCAACTGTATTTCAAATTTTCCTGGGGCCAAAAACGTGTGTGTATGTGTGTATGTAAATAAAATAAAAGCACCAATAGGGGTTGAGAGTTGTTTTCTTCCTTCCATATGGATATAGTTATTCCAGTACCATTTACTGAAAACTTTTCTTCATTGACACCTTCATCAAAAATTGTATGACCTCTTATGTGTGGTTTATTTCTGTGGTTCTATTATGTGTGGTTCATTTGTTCATCTATTTACTGAGGAAGTTTTAAGTCTGGCACTGCACTCTAAGTGTTTGAATTGAGTTCTTTTAGATGACTTGCATTATTCTAGGTCTGTTCCCTTTCTGTATAAACTTGACAACCAGCTTGTCAGTTTCTTCAGTAGCTTGCTGGGATTTTTATTATAACTACATTAAATCCATGGGTCAATTTGAGAATTAACATTTTAATACTCATTCTTCCAACTAGCAGCTATAATATATTGTTCCATTTTATTTTTCTTAAAAATTCAATTTGAAAATTAAAATTTTAATGATAATGAGTCTTCCAATGGATGAAGGTATCTTTCCATTGTACTTAAAAATGTTCTCCAACAGTTTTAATGCAGTCTTACATCTCTTTCATTAAATATCTCCCTACTTTATATTTCTAGATGCTACTGAAAGTGGTATTATCCTTATATTGTCCAAAAGTTTGTTAACATACAGAAACTTTGTCCTGTGCCACTATTAAATCAGTAATATAATCAAGTTAGCGGTTTCTGTAAATTCCCAATTGTATCACTGAGTAATTAAGTTCTACTTCTTTCTGTCTGATTTTTTTTTTTTTTTTTTTTTAGGCAAGGTCTCACTGTGCAGTTCAGGCTGGCTTTTGAGTTTACTCTGTAACTCAGGCTAGCCTCAAACTCACAATCGTCCTCCTGCTTCAGCCTCCTGAGTGCTGGGATTACAGGTGTGCACCACCACACTCAGCTTCTGTGCAATTATTAAGACTCAGACTTCTTTTTCTCGTTTAATTCACTATCCAGGATCTCTAGGACAATGCTAAATACAATGAGAAAACACCAACATACTTCTTGTGTTCTCAAATGTCGGCAGAATTTAGTATCTCAGTGTTTTCTATCATGTTAGCTGCAGGTTTTTCATAGGAGTCCCCTGCATAGGTAGTCAGGGGCTACATATAAAAAAAAACAGTCTTAAAATCATAAATGGATACTGAAATCTATCAAAATAATTTTTTAGATTTCAGGCCTTCAAAAATTCCAATGGTGAAATACACAAATTCTGGTATGTTTTCATGATTATTTGGTTTAATTTTCTGTCTGTATTTCCCAGTGAATTTTTCTTTGATCCATGAGTAATTCAGATATTTATCTGCTAGATATTTGAAGATTTTCTTTTTTTAGTAATCTTGATGTTTAACTAATCTGAAAACAAGTAAACGAGACTCAATTTTTAACAGTCAAGAATTTCCACTGTAGAACAGCTCATAACTCCTCAAGATCACTTTGAGATCACTTACTCTAGGAATCAGCCTTATTAAAGAAAAAGCAACTTTTATTTCACAAGCAATCATTCATAATGCTTAATCTTCTAACGGATTTTCATAAATGCTTCTAAAACTCTTGTAATATATAAGCAACTTAATTGCATTATCATTGATACTATTAATATTAGGCATTCTCTTAGACTGCTTTCATAGCACTGTCTCTAATTCTCAAACAATCATATATTAACACTTCTTACAATGAGAAAATGAGTGGCTTGCACAAAGCCAAACAAATGATTAAATCAGGATCCGAACACACATATTTTCTCATACAATAAAATACAGACCTGGGCAACAGAAACATCACAAAATCACAATAGATTTTCTCTACAAAGTAAGTGGAACATACAAATGAGATCCAAGATACACAAGAATTACGTTTAAACTGATAAAGCTTCCTATATATATTGACAGGTTTGCCTGAGGTTCAAAACTTCAAAAAAAGCACCTGTGATTTAATTCAGTCATTACACACTTGCTGTACAATCCACAAAACACTATCAGCAATTTATATTTTAATGAGAAATTATAAGAATTTTAATATTTATTCTTCAAAAGAGCTTTTCAACAGCCATTAAATAAGAACTAAAACGCGTGTTATTTTTCATTAATTGATCACCATCACTTCGGTATTCCCAAACACTCTAGTCCACATGTAACGCTACCTTTGGTAAACTTCTATTTATCATCATGCTCAATATTGATCTATTTCTTTTCTATCTACACTGAGTATCAAGCCTTGTTTCTCTTTTAGATAGCAAAGCCTTCAGTGGAATGTTGAATATATGGTAGTCATCACATCCGTCCTTGGTCAAGTAAATTTTATGTTCTTAAGCCTGGCATAATTCTACCACTCGAAATCTAACAATAAATTCTGAGACCAAAAATGTCCCTACAATCCCTTACAGGAATGAGTTACACTAACACACATGACACCATCACAGTTCCAAAACTTCTCTATAAATGGAAAATGAAACAAAAACCACAGACTCTATCTGTAGAAAAAGGAAATTTTCCTTTACTTGCTATTCTTCATCCTTCTGTATTTCCTTTTCTATCCAGAAAGCTTACTCCCCAGGTACTTTTGTACATACAAATGTTGCATCAGTGAGCAAGATAAGAAGTTTATTTTTTTCTTTTGGCCAGAAGAGAATGGAAAAACTTAAAGTAAAAGATAGTGAAACAACCAAGGAAGAAAGTGTTGAAGAGTCTGACTTTAAGCAGGTGGTGGTCAGAATGAGGTCAGAACACTTGGAGAGATGCAGACGGCTGACGAAGAACGGAAGGCAGGAGGAAGAACATCTGGCTCCACAGAAGTAGCACAAAGGCTCTGGGTCAGGATCATGACTTTGTTTGGAATGTAAAGTGGCACGCTGGTGATGACAAGTGAGCAAGGCCAAGAGCAGCAGATGAAGAGGGGGCCACAGGGAGCTCTGGGGGACAGCAGAGGTGGTGCTGTAACTTCCGGCCGAGGGCTCAGCTGGACCTGAGGGGATTAACTCCTAAGTAGGGCACAAGCTACAAACTGAGGGCGTGAAGTGCTTAATTATAGCTTCATTAATTTCAAAGCTACAAGTAAGTGCATTTTCACAGAACCATCCATTCTAGGGAGTTCACCACCCAAATAGTTCCAAACGTATGACATTCTGAAATACCATGTGGTCAGTTTGGGAAATGCACTGTCTCCCACAGAAACAAGGTTAGAGCAGCTGGATCCTAAGCAGACCCCCAAAGCATACTAACATAAAGACCCTTAAAGCTGTTCCCCAAGCAGCGGAAGAGCATTAATAACACCATCTGGGAACATGTTAGAAATGAAATCAGAACCAAACCAAAGATCCCGGGGGTAGGAATCTTGGGGCCGTTTAATAAGCTTCCAGAAGATTCTGCTCAAGTTTGAGAACTATACTTATAATTAGACTTTTGAACCAGCAACTTGTCAGCTTTCTGGGCCCCACATTCTCATTTAAAAAAAAAAAAAATTAATTGCCCCTTAAGATTCTAAACAAAAGAGGACTCTAGACATTCAGGTATATGAGTTATTTTTACATAAACCATACATTAGTAAAAGACTAAGTAAAACACTAGTTCATAGGATACTCACTAGAACATAACACATATCCCTACAACACTTACCAACCATTCTGTTTCTAGCAAAAATTAGTTAACTCGTATCAGTATCATTCAATAGTAGCAAGTCAAATTTATCTTGATTAGCATTTACATTATGACCAAATACAAACATATACATGGATATAAAAAAAAAGAGATGCACACACACATATAATTAAGAATTTCATACAGCAATATTTAATCTCAAGGACCAATAATTTTTAATATTTTCTATTGTTCCTTTCATTGTTTAATGCTAATTGTAGTCCATTAATAGGATTTCAAACAATGATCTAGATCACCCACACTCTGTGTCAGATCAAACAATCCACACATAAGAAAACTTCTGAATACAGCAAAGTAACAGCATGTGGTAGACTAACTACTGGTCCCAGCTTTTCACAGCTCTGTACGTCAATAATACACCCACCTGCCTATAGCATCATGGCCTTATGGTGAGGCATAATACCCTTTTCTCTGCTTCTTGAAGTGGGCTTGGCCACTTATTTTAACCAAGAGGATGCTAATAGACATGATACAAGAGAATTAAAATATGTCTCTATGTTTGGGCCTCTAGCAACTCATTATGAGATCATTCCATCAGTACCCACTATTTCCCCCACCTGGGTGTTCGAGCAAAGACAAATGAATAGACCTGAACTTGGCACCAGCTTGTAAGCCTCTCCAGCAAATCAACGGAACATGAGTAACAAATAATGTTTTCTGCTCCTGAGACTCTGTAATAGTTTGCTACATAGCAAAAGCTAAGACTACACAGCATGAGTTAGGACCTTTCAGGATATTCCAAAAGTACAGGATGCAGGGTTTTCTTTATCCAAAGCTGCTTGCTCCTCTCTCATATAACTAGTCCTCAGATGGTCTTAGAGAAGATTTTTTCCCTAAGACCCTGCCTCTTCCAAAGCTATCAACTCTTAAAGGCAAAATAAGAGAGTAAAACCTTGGAACAGGACAAGCTGAGAAACTTCACTGTGCATGAAAAACATACATACAGAGAAAACATTCAGAACGCAATCACTACTTCCAAAGAGGGAAAAGCCATCTAATGTTCTTTATAAAAAGACATTAGCAGAATAGTAAAAATAATTCTAAAGCTTAAGCATTATTTTAAAGAAAAAAATATGCTCAAGTTTTCTAGACTTATTCTCTTAGTATGATCTTACCTTATTCTTGGAATAGGTCAAAGAATTTTCTGAAATTAAAACAAAAATTGTTAACAATTAAATGCTGTTTGTCATTTACTCCATGAATAAAAATAATCAAACCACTAATAAATTACTTTCAGTTTGAAGATATAATTTCTACACGAATAACATCAAAAACATTTTAAAATTTATTTCTATAGTATAGAACTAAAGTAGGTACCACTCAAAAATCCTCAACCAAACACAACGCAAAGCAAACGATGACACCAACCTTATTTACCCAATTCTATTTCTAGATAGATCCCTGACATGTCTGGCTAAGTCAGGGCCCAGAAACCCAAGTGAATACTACATTCTTTTCTACATTTTTTTACTTTATGTTAGCCTCCAGGTGTAACAGTTTAGAGGTGCTAGCAAGTGAATCCTACAAGAACAAAGAGGCAAAGATTTATGTGGCCAACTACTCTCTAATCAAAGAATAAAACAGCTCCTTCATTCTGGCATGTTTCAAGAATGACCAGAAAATTTGTACTGGTCTATTAAAAAAACTCAGCAGCACACAACTGTAGTCCAGGTATTCAGAAAGTCAAAGAAGATTCCAAGTCCAAGGGCGTTCTGGGCAACTTAGTGAGAGTTCTGGTCTCTAAACAAAAACTTTTTAAAAGGTCTGGGAGTGTGGCTCAGTGAAGTGCTTTCCCAGTAAGCATGAGAACCTAGGTTAAAAAAAAAAAGTCTGGCATATTTTTTAATTATCTTTTTCTCTGCAATTTTAAAAATTTGAAAAACAAAAAAAAAAGGTCTTCTGTTACAAAATAAATAAGGCTTTTCAACATATGTCCCCCACACTATGAAAAACTAGCAACACTGCCTGCTAAGATTTCCTATCAAAGAGGTTATTTTGTTCTTCTAAGGGCCAATAAAGAGAGCAGGCAGTAATTTAAGTCAACCAGCAGTTGTGAGAAAACTAAAAAAGTAGTGAAGCTTCAACCACCCTAAGGCACATTCTGTCATTCTTCCACATCATCTCAGATGCACCTTCCAATGCCAACTCCCTGTCCCCCAACTTCATGGGGATGATTTTTCATTTAAAGTACACTTGTTTGACACAAAAGAGAATCTGCTTAATTCATGATTTTTCCACTTTATACAGTGTTCATGAACAGTAGCAGTTCTCAGGTCTTCCTACACTGGCTAAAAACTGACTTCAAACCACATTTCTCACTCATTTGTGTTCTAATTTAGGACAATGAAATCTTGAAAAGCCGTATTTCAGAAGAGAACAGCGCTGGCCAACAGCAATACAATGCACGTGAAAATGTGAGTCACCGGTGTACCATAAAAATTGCTCTAGCCAAATTAGAGTAAAAGGCAACTGATAAAATTATTTTAACTCAACAGATCCAAAACATCACTTCAGCATATAATGAATATAAACGATGAAGACCATCTTGAACGATGTTTACCATCTTGAAAAATCTAGTGTCTACTCGACAGCTGTGACACATCTGGGCCACATTTCAAGCGCTTAACAATCATACGTGGCTATGACCCGTACCTATGATACAGGGCAGCACAATTTTGAGACTACCAATGTTTCCTAGAGACCGCTGAACACTATCACTGTCCTTTAAAAAACGGGTGAGAAATTTAAAAGCCTTGTGAATGATGCCAAGTATAAAAACGGGTTTAGACCAAATCACCTCACTCTTCTCATTTTCGTAAAAAGGGGTTAGGACCTTTCAGGATATTCCAAAAGTACAAGATGCAGGACAGAAGTTTTCTTGGATGCAGGATGAAGTACGAAAAGTTTTCTCCAGAAAACAAGTTGGAATTGAAAAAACAACTGATAAATTTGAGCCAGATAAGATCATTAATTGCCCTGACACAAACTTACAGTTGGTTTCTTTTTCGATAGTTTTTCTATAGTTTTCTATATTTTAGAACTGAAAGGGTTCAAAAATAAATTACACCGCTAGCGAAATCCAGTGTGACTTGACCAGAATACACAGTACGCTGTCACTATTTCTATTCATTCGAAGTTACTTTTTTTAATAACATTACCTATCCCGTGTGTCCTTTGCGCACCTACATAGGTATCAAAAATTCGTTGTAATTCACACTTTCCAGTCATCTGTCGTAAGAGCCATTTCATCCAATATCGAAAAAAGTGCCCATAGAAGAACTCCCACAAGGAAAGAAACATTTTTCCCCCTGGGGAAGGAAATAATACAAGCTTAATGACCTTAAGTTGAATTTAAAACTGAAAAAAAATTTACAATTTATCCAACTCACCAAATCTCAAATTATTTTTAGTATCTATTAACTCACTGTTTTGTGATTGTGTTTCATTAGGCATCTAAGAAAAAGATGTAATATACACAAGATGATTAATTAGATAAATGTCAACGTGTCGCTTTTTAAAAACTGTAACAATCAGAAGAACTGCTTCAACCTACCTAGTGACTTAAAAGAATGACAGCAGATGTTCTGCGCTTCTGAACCAATTGTGCTGTACTTTACAGCTTCCCAATACTAGGACTGAACAGTCCACCTAAATGACAATTAAAATATACCAAAAATCTGAACAGTTCTGCTAAGAAATAAGCTCTTCTTCGCCCTCATGGATAATGTGTTTCAGCTGTCCCATTACCAGCTGAGATCAGCAACTAAAAACACTACACTTGGCTAGCAAACTGAAGCACCCAAGATGAAAACAGAGTAAATCACACCCTGATTCATCTTCCATTCACTGAAGGTCAGAAATCCTAGTAAGTTAAAAAAAAATCCAAATAAAAACCTACACACTTAATAACCCTGGCTGTTATAATAAACTCTTGGCTTGTAAATGCAGGGGGTCACGCATGAGGGGAGCTACGTTAACACAATGCTGGTCACCGGCGGTCTCGAACATCCCCACACCACGTCCGCTCCGAACTGGGCCACCGGGCCTGAGGTTTGGGGACTGGCGCTCCCCGCCGGTCAGGGCGGAGCCTGCGTTTCGAAGAGGTTCTGACGGCATCGATAACAACTCCGCGCTCCGGGACAAAAGACTCGCGGAAGAGCCCGGCGGAGGGGCGCTAGCCCGGAGGCGCCGCAGCTCTCCCGGTCCTCAGGAGCCGCTGCGCCGGGGCCTGCGGAGTCGCCGAGCCCGGCCCACACGCCGGCCGGAGCGGAGCGGGCGGTGCGCACAAAGCCCCGCCGTCCGGGGTGCCCCGCCGAGCTCCCGCAGGACGCCGCGGGGCTCGCGCAAACCCGCGCACCCTCGGCGCAGCCGCACGGAAACAGCGCAGGGTGAGAGAAAAGAAACAGCGGCCACCTCACAGGAGCGGAAGAACTAGGGGGAGCTGGAGCTGCCTCGGTTTCCCCAACTGCAAACAGCCGGCAACGGAAACGACGCTATTAGCGGAGCGTCCCCTGAAAACACCGCGACCCGGAAGTGAGGGGGGGGAGGCCGCCGCACCTCCCTCCCCGGCTTCGCGCGTCCCGCCCCCAGGGCCCCTTCCGATTGGCCAGCGCTCCACCTATTGCCCACACTGGAGGCGGGGCCAGGGCAGCCGCGGCGTACAGCGTGCGCCCGTTCTGGAGACGTCCTTGCGGTTTCCCTGGTAACGACTCCAAAGAGACACGCCCAGCGCCAGCGAGGTCTTTTGGTAGCTGCTCTGGAGGCACCTCTTTTCCTTAATATTGAACGCATTACTGTACTGTTGCTAGGCAGCCAGCACTGAAGCAACGGTGCGTGCCTTTAGTAACTTTCACATCGCCAAGGTTACGTAGTCATTCTCATATATAAGCTTCTGTGAAGTAACCATGAATTGTCTCATTTTATGGATGACGAAAAGGAACTCAAATCACTTGACTTGCTCATGGCCAATAAGTGGCAAATAAGGAGAGCTCTGCATTGTGAGAGCGTAGGACTTTTTCCTCTCGTAATAAACATAAAACTGTTAATTCATCAAACATTCATTCCTTAACGATTATTTCTATCGAAGAATTAATTTACGCGCATGAAAAGGGAAGAAAAATGCTTGTTATCTATAATACATCGGGATTGAAACAGTTACAACGCAAAAGGGATTCAAACAGTAAACCAAGGAGCAAATATGTAGTGTGCCAGCTGTTACTAAAAAGGACGTTAGGGGGAATTAGCTAAGGGATATGGGGGCGTGAGTCATGATATAGTGTCATCAGCAAAGTCGGTAATAGTGACATTTGAGCCTTACTGGATGAAATAAGGGAGGGACTCTGACTCTGACTCTGACAGACTCTGGAGAAAGTATTTCCAGTTCACAGGCTTCGAATGGAGCATATCTGAAATATTTGAGAAACAGCAAGCAGGCTAGTGTGGCTGAAGAAGAAAGCCAGGCAGGGAGTAAGCAATAAATACAACGAACAATTTGCATTCCAAATAACTCTCCTTCACCGCACCCAAGACTCCTGGTTCCTCAGAACTCTTGCTCAGGAGCAATCATTGCTAGCTCCTTATTTATACTTCAGATATATTCTATGCAAGTACCTACAGGTATATTTCCTCCATCTCCTCGTGAACACAAGTTGAAGCAAGCACTACACAATTTTCCACATCTCAACCAGCATTTTAAAAAGATACCCATTGTGGAACACTAGGCACTTAAGTGTTGAAGTTTGTAGTTCTTTTAGGTTCTCGGTATCCCAAAGAATTGAGCAGAACACACAGAAGTAGAAGTGAAAGCATGTATGTATTAGCAAAGATAGACTCATCGCGGTGGGAGAGGGGCAGTGGAAAAAGCTGACAGCCTGGAAGAAGCCAGGTTTCAGTGTCTATATGTGATTTTTACAGCGAAGGAGGAGCTCTGAAATGGCACAGAGATTGACTCTAACCAGTTGAAGTCTGTCTTCAACTGGTTGAATCCATTGATGCAGAGTTCATGACTGTAAAGGATTGACTGTGTGCTTAGCACTTGGTAGTGGTTTTAGTTCATCTATTTAAGCTGTAGGGGATGATTAATGTGAGGGAGAAGATATCCTTATTTGACTCCTGGAAAAGAGTCCAAGGATGTATGATGTTATTGACATCAAGTGGCAGAAGACAGTAGAAAACTTTCAGGAGTTTTCTAGCATAATGATGATACAAAAGGTACTAAATGCATTTAGTACAATGGAAAGGCAATACAGTATTAAGGTTTAAAAATTAAAGTTTAGAATGCATGGAAATGTTACGGTAGATAGCAATAGAATTACTACTTAAGTGCAGATGGAGAAATAAGAAAGAAAAAATCCAGTTCTTATTTTTACCTGCATACATCATTAGAATGGATATGAGGTTCATGTTATCACCAATTTAAAGCCAGATGTCTTTAAGAAACAGCTAAGTATGCCCTTCACATAGTTTTAATTAGATATGCAAAACGGAAGCCCTGAGACTTATTCAAATAGTTCTTTACCATATATATCAGGGAGTGTCAAAATCAGGCAAAAAAAGAAAAATCTTATCTTCTGTTAAGAAATACTGAAAACAGAAATGCTAACCTCCACTAATGCTTTGTATTAATCCTATGTGGCCTAGAAGAAAATAAAAAAGCTTTTAGAGTTAATGCTAAACTATTATGATTTGAACAACATCATTTCTATGCCTTAAACAAGTGTTGCTTATACCAGGCACTGTACAAGTTATACAAGAAGTCTAGATTAGATCAATGCTGCCACTTAAATCCACTCAAAGAGAAGGCAAGCACAGTTTGAGGAGAAATGGAATACATATGCATGGCCTTTCCCCAAGGATTTCTGACCTTCCCAACTCACTGCACAGTTTGGTGAGATTGTATTTAGGCATTACCACTGTAAAAATAAACTCATCATACTGATGACATTATGAAGACTCACTCTTGGAAAGAGAAACTTCAAAAAACTCAAGACCTGTAATGGCAAGTATGACTCACCAAATGTTGATTAATCCACTGGACTCAGAACCTGCCCTATCGGTGAAATATATAAAAATGACTGAGCCACCAGAGAGACTCTATAAATAGTAAATAATCCATTACTCTCACTCCAGGACTCTGCTAATAAAAAGGCAGATACAACAACTCTAGAGGCTAATTGGCTAGCTATGGAAAACTGACCCAAATATGTTAGTGAAATCCTAGCATTTCCATGCATTTACAGGACTCAGAAATTTCTGACAGGAGCATGCATTCGAATCAGACGTTGTAATATAATACTGCCGCCTTGTGGCAACTACTAGGAATTTTGGCTTTTAAAATTTTCATGATTTGGGTGAGCTTATTTATTTGTTGGCAAGGCTCTCATAAAAACAGTGCCCATGAAAATGGACACTTCCTGCTATTTTGGAGAATGTAAAACAGTAGATTCACTATGAAAATAAATATGGAGGTTCCTCAAAAACTGAAAGTAGAAATAGCTCATGATCCACAAATACCACTCCTTGACGTATGCACCCAAAGGATTTTAAAGGATGCCCACATGCCCATGTTTACTGTGGCACAATTCAAAAGAGCCAAGTTATGGAATCAATGTGGGTGACCATCATCTGATGAATAGACAAACAAAATGGAACGCATATGCACAGTGATGTGTTATTCAGCCAAAGAGAAAGAAATCATGTTATTAGTAAGAAAGTGGATTCAAATAACAGTGTCCTATTAAGTGAAATAAACCAGATTTAAAAAGACAAGCAGCAGAAAACCTTCTCTCATATGAAGTATCTGCAAAAAAGTATGGTATGAAAGCAAAAAGAAGACTTAGGAAAATATAAGAGAAACAGAATAGGAAAGAGGAGGCCAAGAGAGGGCAAAAGCAGAGTGGATAAGATCAAAATATATACTTGTAGGGAAATGTCACAGTGGAGCCCCTTATTGTGTATATAATTAATGTGCTCTAGTAAAAAAGAAATATTGCACTGAATCTCATCTATACATACTAGTATTAATATTTAAAAATAAAAACAATTACCATAATTTAAGAACTTCAAATTGTATTAGGATCTGAGCTACCTATTGGTGATGTAAGAAAGAAGCTGTAATGCAAACAAATTATGTAAATCCCAGGCTGACCTTGAACTCCCAGTGATCCTCCTGCCTCAGCATCCTGAGTGCTGGAATTACAGGCATGTGCCACCACACTGGACAGCACTTTTAACAGGGAATCACTGAAGAATTTTGGGGTAGGTGGTTGTCTGTTCCAAAAATAATAATTAGAATCAGCAATAAACTTGTCAGTGCTTTGGTTGAGTAACAACAGACAGAGAAAAAAGAGCCAAATGTCCTGAGTGCTTAGATTAGGACAGGATGTATGCTAAGTTGTTGTCAGAGTTTTTCTGTGGAGCCTCAGCAACGCTGGATGAATAGCATGTATCTCATCTTAGTGAAGAAGAGCTCAAGCTTGGAGAGGATTAGGAACCTTTGCTAAATGAATCCGACATCACAAGGTTTCTCTTCTATATAAATACAAATAAAGGGCAGAGTAAAAGAGAATAGGAAGTAGAGAGATACATGTCTCTTAAAGGTGAAAGGGATGGAGAGGTGGAGGCAGAGGGAGGGAGAAGGAAAGGGGCTGGCAAAAGGAATTAAAATGTGTTCTGCACAGGTACAAACTCCACACAAGGAGTGTAAGCATTATGTACCATAAATATGTATTAAAAACGTTCCTAACATGACATTGTTAGTAAATAATAGCATTGTTTGCTCCAGAAATTAACAGTTGACTTACTTAAGGGGAATATGAGACAAAACTTCTCCTTTCTCTATTTTTTCTTGGGCGGGGCGCACTAGGAATTGAAGGCAAAGCCAGAGACATGCTATACTTCCACTCTACCACTGAGCTGCATCTCAGAGCAAGTGTTTTAAGAAATAGATTTCCGGCTCAGTGTGGCAGAGATGGCTTGTAATATCCTCCCATAATCAAGGAGTTGAGGGGAGGCGGCTGCTAGGCAAGGACCACAGTTTTCAACTCTTTTGCATTGTTTCTTTCCTATGGAGAATTTGTGCCCAATTAAATTATAACGCTTCTATTTCTTCCCACGCTTTCCCTCCATCTTCCAGCAGAGGGAGACACTTCCTCCTCCTCCTAGGGAGGGCGCCCACAGGACAGAAAGCCTGGGATACTGCATGATGGTGTGGAAAAGCAGCCCATCAGCTGGAAGCGGTGGTATTAGATATTTGCTGGCCAAGAAAAGAAACCTCTGTTGTGTTAACCGATGGAGGTGTGGGGTCCTATCTGTTCCTGGAGCTGGTATTGTAACCAATCAGTTGCTAGTCCACTTAAAGTTATAAAGCAAATTGTTCATATCAATAAAACTTGTTTATTTGTATTTGTGAATTGGATGAAATAGTGCTAAATATCTGACTTGCAATGAAGGATGTACAGAAATGTTTAAAAAGCAGTAAGCTTCCCTTCTCATTCACTGGACCTCAAAAGAACTGAGGCAGCTACAAAGTTATTCAAGGAGAGTCACATAAAGTCTCAATGGTTGGAATCAATTCATTATTCTGTGCTGGTTACCATAGTCTCTGGGTTTTCTAAAAGAAAGGGAGAAGGTGGATAAATTAAACTGCTTAGGTCTCCTGGTTTTCTCCTTCAGATGTCCATGAAAAGCTTCCAAAAAAGCAAGTGGAACTGAATTTAAATTATGTAATTATTACTTCTTGGTTATTAAATTACTTTTCTTCAATTGAGCTATACCACAATTCCAGAATTTTCTTTTTCCTGGGCACAGGTATTTGTCCCATGACATGTATTTACACTGAGATTTCCTTTCTCTACAAGTAATGGCCTTATAAACTACACTGATACTTAAACCCACCAGCACTGTTTGGTTCTCACTGTTTGTTCCAATCCTACCTTCAAGGTTCATGTATGCCGGGCTGTTTCAATACTCTATAGCTTCTTTAATGGAATTATTCCCTTTTTAAATATTACTTAATATAGTTTGATTTTATTTAAAGTGACATAATAATTGTGTGGGGCACAACTTGAAAATTTGGTACAATTTTTATAATATGAAATGACCAATTCAGTCTACTGAGTATATATATATCCATTATCACACATGCTCATCCTTTCTTTGTAACAAGAACATTTAAAATCCACTGTTGGCATTTTTTTTTATTCTGAAGAGAGTAATACCAAACAAAATAAAAGAGTCAATCAAAACAGTGAACATGATACAGGACTTCAAAGCAAGATAATAAGAAATCAACAATGGCTACCATAATGCCTCTTGCTATCTTCAAAGTAGCTGCCTGTATCATCAGATATAATAAAATCAAACAAAACAAAATAGAATAAAATCGATCAAAATCAAACACTGAAAGCAATATAAGGCTTAAAAATAAAATAACAGGAAATCAACAATGGCTAGCATGATACATTTTGTTATCTGTAAAACAGCTGCCCATACCATTAGGTATAATAAAATCAAACCAAACAGAACAATGAAAATAATACAGGACTTCAAAACATGATAACAGGAAATTAACAATGGCTACCACCTTCCCTTTTAGATATTTCCTCCGCTTTCATTTTCACAGTATGTATCGTGCATTTTGGATCTCACTAACTCCTTCAGTTTTTTATACCAGGGAGCCAACACAGTGTTCACCCATGAGCATGATCTCAAGTTGCATCCATTTACCTACAAGAGCCTCGAGGTTATCTTTTGTATAGCTGAATATCTTTCCGTTGTACAGAAATTCCATGTCTTTCTTACCCATTCTGCAGTTGATGGGTAAGCCACCCCTGCTTTTTTCTGGTTCTCTGTCACATGGAATAGTGTTTTTTTCTCTCCCTTGACTTTCAGTCCATGAATTTCCTTTTGAGTTAAATGTGTTTCTTTATAAGACATTTCTCTCTTTCTGGGCCCTCTCTTGAGGTCTGTCTGTGTCCCTGCTCTACCAAAGGCCCTATCCACCTCCTGGCCATCAGAGTCCAGACTTCCAGGTGCGTTTTTCAGGAAGCCCAGTGTTCAGATCCCTCTCTCAAGGGCCCGAAAACCAGCCAGGCCAGAGGCGCAGTGCTGATGTGAAGCAGATCGCTTCAAATCAAAGACTGAGTGCAGAGCCGGACTGAGGTTTTCTCCCAGCACCTCTGGCTTGAGAACGACTCTTTAGGATCCTGAAAAGAAGCCGGTGCCAGCCACCCAGCAGCGCGCACGGGTTCCCAGCGCGCGGCACCGCGGAGCGGCGACAACGGGCTCAGAGCTCAGCGCAGGGACCGCTAGGGCGGCGCTGGGGACCCGCGACCCGCGACCCGGTGACCCCGGCCGCGCCATGCGGAACAAGCACCTGCACTGGCTGGTGGCCTTCGCCACCCTCGTCCCCATCGTGCTCTTCAGCTTCTCCTGGTTCTGCCTCTCCAGGATGGCCGACATGAGTAAGCGGGGTCCGCGCCGGGGTGCGGGGGCCTCGGCGGGGAGCGGGCCGACCACGCGCGCCCACCCACTCGTCCGCCGCCCGCAGTGGGCGCCGCGGTAACGGGCGCCCGGCTGGTCCCGCCCGGTCCGGTCTGGTCCGCGTCGGGGCTGCGGCGACCGCCCGGGGCGCGCGCTCGGGACCGGGTGGGGCGCAGGCCGGCCTCCCGCCCCGCCGCTGCCCCCCCCCCCCCCCCCGGCTCCCTTCTTCTTGATCTTCTCCAGCGAGGCGCGGGTGTCCGACTCGGCAGCTCCCGCCGTAACCGCCTCTGTCCCCCGGGCGCCGGTTGGGGCTGGACCCGCCCGGGGTGTTACCTGCAGAGCCGGCCGAGGCCGGGTGGCGGAGACGCAGCACCGGCGCGATTTGGGGCTCAGGTCCGGCACCGGAACGTTCTCAAATAAACCTGGAGCCTGTGTGACGACTACCCCAAGCACTCCAGCGTTTTGCCTTATGGGCCACAGGACCGTCAGTCTAGCAAACGGAAGTTAAAGTTGCCTGGTTAAATTTGAATGTCAGACACAGCGAAATTTTTCGTATAAAAAAGTTGCATGGGACGTAATTGTTCCAAAAACTTATTTTTGTTTTTCTGAAACAGCGCTAACGCGGTGGATTATTCATCTTTCACCCTAGTTGTCCACACTGTGCCGCTCAGGGTTCATACTTGAGCTCTTTAACACTTGGGAAAACTGGGCGTTATTAATCCAGGATGCTTTAGGTTAAATTCTTGTTTCTCCCACTGAACACATTTATGATTTAGGTGTAAACAAGGTAATCTCCGCAGTAGTTTAAAAGTGGCTTCATGTTAAATCAGTACTACATTTTGTCATCATGTACACAAAAATGCCCCATTCTAGCTCATCGAAATACGAGAAATACTAAAAAGTACGTCGTAAGACCTCTAGTCTTTCGCTTATATCCTTTTTCATTTTCTCTAAAGGAGACTTTTAAAATCTTTTTGTATTAGAACAAACAGTGAGCATATTTATAACAAAAATAAAGGGTTTCTTGTAACTAGAAAACAAGTAATTTTGTTTTTTAAGAGAAAAAATAACTATAGAGAATTTCAAAATGATACATTAACAATGGTGAATATACTGCATAGTATTATCTTCAAAATAGTTGCTCACATTACATGATACAGGCATGCAAAATTGATCCAACGTATAAGCACAATCCATTCTTTTCAATGAACAATGGAAATTAGTAGTATAATTATCAGCTATCCTGTGTGTGTGTGTGTGTGTGTGTGTGTGTGTATTCTTTTTCCTTCTTTTCTCCTTTCCCCCATCTCTGTTGTGCATTCCTCTTTCACAGTACCTATTGCACATTTGGATCTTATTTCCTCTTACATTTTCTTACATTAGGGAGACACTTTCTTACACATGGGAGTCTGATTTATTTCACTTATGAGTATGGTCTCAAATTGCATCCATTTACCTATAAAAGCCTTGAGATTATGTTTCTTTATAGCTGAGTTGTACTCCATTGTATAAAAATACCATATCTTTTTTATTTGTTCCTCGGTTGATGGGCATTTGAATTGTTTCCAAGATTTAGGTATTACAAATTGCACTGCTGTAAACATGGGTGCACATATATCGCTGTGGCATGATGTTTTTAATTCTTCTGGGAAAATAACCAGCAGGGGAATAGCTGGGTCGAATAGGACCTCTAATCCTAGTTTTTTGAGGAATCTCTACACTGATTTCTACAGTGATTGTACCAGTCTACACTCCTACCAACAGTGGGGAAGGATTGCTTTATCCACTCAGCCCCTCCAGCATTTGTTGTCGGTTCGTTTCTTAATGATAGCCATTCTTTCTGGGGTGAGATGGGATCTCAATGTTGTTTTAATTTGCACTGATTGGATAACAGTGATGCTGAACATTTTTTCATGTGTCTATTTGTCATTTTTTCTTTCTTCATCTGAGAAGTACGTATTCATCTAAGATGCCCATTTTTGAATTGGATCATTAAATTTGGGGGGCCTGATTTTTTTCACTTCTTTATGTGTTCTAGATAGAGTTTCTTTGTGTGAGGTATAAATGGCCATATTTTTTTCACATTCTGTGGATTTTCTTTTCCCTCTGTTTGTGATTTCTTTTGAGGTGCAAAAACTTTTTAATGAGACGAGATCCTAGTTGTTGATTTTTTGAGTACTTCCCAACCAGTTTGGGTTTTGTTCATGAACTCTGCCTATCTTGGGTCTTCAAGATTTCTACATAGTTTGTCTTGCATTAGCTTTAGTGTTTCTCTTTTAATATCTAGATCTTTGATCCATTCTTGATTTTAGTTTTGTGGTGATAGACTTGGGTCTAGTTTTAGTCTTTGACAGTGAAAAGCCAAGTTTTCCAGAACTATTGTTCCAATGAATATGTTTGGTCCCTTTGTCAAAGATAAGATGGCTGAGTGTGTTTGTAGTTGTATCTACATCTTCTAATCTGCTCCACTGATCCTCAGGTCTTTTTTTTTTTTTTGTCATTATCTTGCTAATTTTATCACAGCAGGAAAGCAAGTAATTTTGGAAGGCAATTTAGGATAGCAACCTTAGAAAACATTTTAATATAGTTAATATTCTTACAAGGACTAACTTAGATTCATACAAACATTTTGATGTTTTTTTTTCTAGTTATAACCAGAAATAAGTTTACTTCTGCAATGGATTTAGACTCCTGTTATTCATAGATACAAGTTCCAAAAATGATATATTTCTGAGAATGAAACTCGTAAAATAGAAGATGAGTCAGAGTTTTCATTTTCTATAAGTTCATCATATTAATGATTCATTATTTTTTTCAACAAATTATTTAAACTCTGTGAAGACAAAGTCTTCTCTCTCCTCTTTCTCTTTCTCTCTCTCTGACTGTTCTGCTTACTGCATTGTTCCTAGCATCTGGAAGATTGCACAACATCTAATAGGCATGTGAAATGTTCAAACAAATGAGTGATCAGGTTCACGAATGAATAATTGAATTTACTAAGTACCTATTCACATTGTAGGAACTAGGTTAACAACAACGACAATAACAGCAACAACAGCAAAATTCTGTTCTAGATCTTGTGTTATGGTTGGGGGAATACACATCGGTGATACGTGATTACTGTATGAAGTCAGGCGTAGGTGGGGACAGGAAGGAAAGTACTGACGTTATGCTTTGGTACTTAGTTGCTTTGAAACTCATCAAACTTGGTACTCAGTGCATTTTGACTCCATATTTTGTCCCAGTATTTGTCCTTTGTTTGATACTCTATGCACAAGAAAGAACTTGTTGTTGTCACTTGCCTTGTGACTCACTACCATTTCCAGCCAAAACAATTTATTTGATACTCACTGGTTTTGGTATTCTTTGCTCTTCCTTGGACTAATTAGTGAAGGTTACCAAGGACCTATGTATTTTGATGTGGTTGTCAGAGAAGGATCTTCTGTGGAAGTTATATTTGAACAGATTTATGAATGGAGTGAGGAAGCATTTATGTGGATATATGAGGGAAAAATCTTCTAGACAATGGGAAAGGCATATGCTAAGGTCCTGAGTTTGGATTGCATTTACTTGTGAGACCACAGTAGGATTATGAGTTTTATTCTAAATAAGAAGCCATTGCAAGGTTCTGAGTAAAAGACTGACATGATTATACATGTATATTTAAATAATTGCTGAATTTGGGATATGAAAGAAAGAAAAAGAAATAAAAGAATAGAAAAGAATCGTAGAATGCTCCAGGATCTCAGCATTAGCACTATTGACGTTTTGCGCTGGATAATTTGGGGGGGGGGTATAAGCGGTACATCCTACATATCACAGAATATTCACAGGGTCTCTCAGCTCTATCCAGTAGATGCCAGTAGCATGTCCCCACTCCAGTTGTGACCATCGATGTTTGAGAACCACTAGTGTTACAGTTTGTATCTAAAATGCCACCCAAGGTCCATGTGCTGAGGCTTGGTTTCCAGCTGATGGCTTTGGAACAGGACTGGGCCATGAGAGTGCTGGTCTCGTTATTGGATGAATGTGCTGATGAGTCTCATTGACAGCTTCATATCGAGCGGGCTGTTCGGAGACAGGGCCCAGGCACAGGGCATGGGTTATGGATGTGTGGCCCTGAGAACTACACGTCGCTCCTTACCCTGTCCTGACTAGTTATTTCCTTTCTCATTGCTTCTGGCTGCCAGGAAGTAAGCAGCTTTCCCTGCTATGCCTTTCCACTGCAATAACCTGCCTTGCCACAGGTCTAAAGCTGTAGAACAGATAGATGATCAAGCACCGAAGCCTCTGAAACCATGAGAAGAAACCTTTCCAGCTTTAGTTGTTTTTCTCAGGCATCTTATCACAATGACAAAGAACCAACACAACTGATTTATATGGCTAAGAAATGGAATTGCCATTTGTTAAAATGGTGAGGCTAGGGAAGAATTAGGTGTTGGTAGCAAAATCAATATATCTATATGCGTGAAGTACCCATTAGAGAACCCCAAGCAAGAATTCAATAGGCCATGGGATATGTCAGGCTGGACCAGGATTGAAGAGATTAACTTGAGAACTGTCACCATGCAATAGTTAAGTAGCGGGTCCTGACCTAGATCTCTGATCTCCCAAACGAGTGTATGGCAGAGGATAAATAAAAAGAGATAAATTTATGATTTTTTAGGGCTCCAGGAAGATCAAAACCCTTTAATTAAGCTTGAGACTCTGAGGACAAAGACAAAGAGTTTTCTGGATCAGTCCACTTCTATTAGGACCAAGGACAAAAGGCAGGGAAACTGAGGAAAGCACAGGCAATGAGCAGGACCTTGGGAATCACTTCAAGGACGTCTCCAACTAATGAATCAAGTCAATTCAGTAGCACTGTGTTATCATGAAGACATGGTAGAAGTGAGACTGTAGGAGTAATCTTTGCAGCTGCAGTCTCTACCTTGTTAATTGGGGTTGGAGCCAAGTGTCTGCACTGTAGCCTCATCATGCC